AAAGTTCATTTTATTTCTCATTAATGCACAACAAAAATTTTGAAATTTTAGCAAATTTATAAAAAAAGAACTAAAATACCACATTTTCAAATTATCCAGACCCTTTGCTCAGTATTGAGTAGAAGATCCCTTTTTGAGCTAGTGTAACCATGAGTTTTCCTGGGAATAATGCAAAAAGTTTTTCACATCTGGATTTGGGGATCCTCTGCCATTCTTCCTTGCAGATCCTCTCCATTTCTGTCAGGTTGGATGGTCAGCACTGGAGGACGGCCATTTTTAGGTCTCTCCAGAGAAGCTAAACTGGGTTTAGATCAGGGCTCTGGCTGGGCCAGTTCAGAATGGTCACAGAGTTGTTCCCAAGCCACTCCTTTATTATTTTAGTTGTGTGTTTAGGGTCATTGTCTTATTGGACGGTGAACCTTCAGCCCCTTCAGCAGCTGAAAAACACCCCCATAGCATGATGCTGCCAACACCATGTTTCACTGTTGGGGTTTTATTGGGCAGGTGATTAGCAGTGCCTGGTTTTCTCCACACATACGGCTTAGAATTAACGCCAAAAAGTTTAATCTTGGTCTCATCAGACCAGAGAATCTTCTCATAGTCTGGGGGTCCTTCATGTGTCTTTTGGCAAACTCTATGCAGGTTTTTCATATGTCTTGCACTGAGGAGAGGCTTCCGTCGGGCCGCTCTCTGCCATAAAGCCCCGACTGGTGAATGGCTACAGGCATAGTTGACTTTGTGAAACTTTCTCCTATTTCCCTACTGCGTCTCTTGAGCTCAGTCACAGTGATCTTTGTGTTCTTCTTTACCTCTCTCACTAAAACTCATCTCCTACGATTGCTCAGTTTGGCTGGACAGCCAGGTCTAGGAAGACTTCTGGTCGTCCCAAACTTCTGACATTTAAGGATTATGGAGGCCACTGTGCTCTGAGGAACATTGAATGCTGCAGAAATTATTTTGTAACCATGGCCAGATCTGTGCCTCACCACAGTTTTTCTTTTTAATAAATTTGCAAAAAAAATTTATGTTTTGTGTTTTCCTCTATCAATATGGGGTGCTGAGTGTACATTAATGAGAAATAAAATCAACTTTGTTGATCTTAGCAAATTGATGCAATGAAACAACGAGTGAAAATTTTACAGAGGTCTGAATACTTTTCTGTATGTTTTGCATAAAATATAATTTAAAATATTCTTATTATGATACATTTTACTGCGGTTATTTTAAACATTACTATTGCATATTAGTATTTATTGTAAGATTGTTTAATATAAATAACTCTCCCTCTTTAGAGACTTATAGATATACATATAGATATACACTCACCGGCCACTTTATTAGGTACACCAGTCAAACTGCTCGTTAACACTTATTTTCTAAGCAGCCAATCACATGGCGGCAACTCAGTGCATTTAGGCATGTAGACATGGTCAAGACAATCTCCTGCAGTTCAAACCGAGCATCAGTATGGGGAAGAAAGGTGATTTGAGTGACTTTGAACGTGGCATGATTGTTGGTGCCAGAAGGGCTGGTCTGAGTATTTCAGAAACTGCTGATCTACTGGGATTTTCACGCACAACCATCTCTAGGGTTTACAGAGAATGGTCCGAAAAAGAAAAAACATCCAGTGAGCGGCAGTTCTGTGGGTGGAAATGCCTTGTTGATGCCAGAGGTCAGAGGAGAATGGCCAGACTGGTTGGAGCTGATAGAAGGGCAACAGTGACTCAAATAACCACCCGTTACAACCAAGGTGGGCAGAAGAGCATCTCTGAACGCACAGTACGTGGAACTTTGAGGCAGATGGGCTACAGCAGCAGAAGACCACACCGGGTGCCACTCCTTTCAGCTAAGAACAGGAAACTGAGGCTACAATTTGCACAAGCTCATCGAAATTGGACAATAGAAGATTGGAAAAACGTTGCCTGGTCTGATGAGTCTCGATTTCTGCTGCGACATTCGGATGGTAGGGTCAGAATTTGGCGTCTACAACATGAAAGCATGGATCCATCCTGCCTTGTATCAACGGTTCAGGCTGGTGGTGGTGGTGTCATGGTGTGGGGAATATTTTCTTGGCACTCTTTGGGCCCCTTGGTACCAATTGAGCTTCGTTGCAACGCCACAGCCTACCTGAGTATTGTTGCTGACCATGTCCATCCCTTTATGACCACAATGTACCCAACTTCTGATGGCTACTTTCAGCAGGATAATGCGCCATGTCATAAACCTGGAATCATCTCAGACTGGTTTCTTGAACATGACAATGAGTTCACTGTACTCAAATGGCCTCCACAGTCACCAGATCTCAATCCAATAGAGCATCTTTGGGATGTGGTGGAACGGGAGATTCGCATCATGGATGTGCAGCCGACAAATCTGCGGCAACTGTGCGATGCCATCATGTCAATATGGACCAAACTCCCTGAGGAATGCTTCCAGCACCTTGTTGAATCTATGCCACCAAGAATTGAGGCTGTTCTGAAGGCAAAAGGGGGTCCAACCCGTTACTAGCATGGGGTACCTGGCCGGTGAGTGTAGATATACTCTCTCTGTTGGAGAGTGAATGAATTGTGAAGAAGTGTCCAGATTTGCAATAGATAAACTATCCAAATGCATTTCCCTTAGCACAGGTTGTTGGGATTATCCTTAATGATGATGTGTGAGTCTGTTAAACCCTTATAATACGTGCCAGTTGTTTGTGAGAACTAATGTTTTACCAAGTAGTTTATTTAATTAGGACAGTTCCTCTATTCAACTATAGCTATCATCTTCATTACGTGGCAAAGATTTGGGAATGCAATGAGAGCAGTGTCCTTCATCTAATAACATAGTGTAATATTTGATATAGCTGGAGCCATGGATGTTTTCCCACTCCAAACGTGTATGATGTAATGATGTGATGATGCAGCAGACTGGAAATTTATAAAATGCTTATTTAACTGTGAATCGGGGCCACTTTAATGAGAGGTTAGCCCTGTTGGTAAGCAGCTTCTCTGATCTGAGTAAGATTGCAATTTCTATCAAAATCTGTTGTCATGTCTCATGGTTATTTAATATATATAGGTTATGAAGTTTTATTTAAAGAGGTTGTCCCGAATGATCTCTTTTCCAAAACAAGGGAATGAACTGTCATCACATAACCTACTTTCTAACTAACTCTACATCAGGAAAAGGCTAAAACAGTGAAAAGAAACAACCACAGGGTGGCGCTAGTAAACCATTTGTAAATGTGTTCTTTATCATGTATATGAAGAGACACAAAATATTTTAGATTTAGTTGTTTATTGATTGTCAAATAAGATGAAGTATTATCCGTGAGATGTATGAAGATATTTAAAAATATTTAAAGCTTAACAACAAATAAATGTTGGAGAAAAGGAAGGATTTATTCCCCTGGCTCTAATTAAAAAAGCAGTTTCCTTCCTCCCCTGCTGCGACCATTATTGCTGACTGTCGTCACCAGAGACAGTGGAGTGTCAGTGACAAGGTTTCCCTGGCAGGCAACAAAATCATCAGTATGAAAAGAAGGAAACCTCTTATGTTCAAAACATCTTAGGCCCTGCCCTAGCTGACCTTAAACAAGCAACTGCATAAACTACAACAACAAGTTTTAAAATCCCTCTTATATTAAGCAAGTGAATGAGAGAATTTAAGAATGGAAATAGTATTTTTCCCGTAAAAAATAGATAATAAGTTATTAGATTGTTTGCCATACAAATGCTGGTGGGTTGTGTCTTTTTTCTTTTTTTGTCAACATAAATAATTTTATTCCAATTGCAAATTTTCTTACCTCCTTAAATCCAAGGAAAATACACATAATTAAATATTTGCAGTGAGATTATTTACTTTCCCCCACTAAATAAAAAAGTAAGTTGACATTCTTAATATGAATTTAGCTTTTAAATTGAGAATGCATAAGATGTTTATTTCAAATGTTGCTCTATCTGAAGTGGCTCTGAGTCTATTTCATGTTTTCTGGAAACAAAAACTTGGCTAATTGGGTAATTGGGTTCCAGGGTCTTAAAAACCTTTAATAGAGAGACCTTTAAATGGTTAAACATAACTGTTATCATCTTGCATGAGACCATAGATAATGTCTTAGTTATCCTCAGGGTAAAGCAGATATGTTACCTGTGAACCCAGGATGTAGAGGTAGAGGCAGCCTAATCTGCTGGCCAGGAGAGATGTGGAAAAGCAAAGGTTAGAGTGTCTGTAGACCTCAGCCTGGGTTGGATGTGCAAAGTAATAATAAATAAAACCCTTCAGTCTGAGTGAGATGATCAATTCGTCACCCTTACTGGCAAGACTTTGTAAACTTTTCCCTCTGCTGGTGGGACAGCTGGTCGCATGGTAAAAGGGATCTTTTGTCTTTCCTCTCTACATTGTCCAGAGTCCTGAATCATTTCCCATAAGAAGCTTATTACAGGTTTTCTATGGGATTTAGTTCTCGGGATTTGATCATGAAAGAAAGTTTACATTTTTTTCTGAACCATTTCTGACTTTACCCACAACCCAATAAAAACACATTTCATATTTCTCCATAGATTTCCACTTTTTAAACAGCCTGTGATAACTTCAACTATCACTATGGGTGAGCTGGGAGAAAAAGCTGAATTTGAAGGCATTTGTATTTAGACGTTTAATAGTCTTTCAAGAATAGTTGAAATTCCTACAATTCTAAATTAATGTTGTAATTCTCTAAAGAGTAAAAACAAGTCACATCTGTCACAGTGGCAACTAAATAAACAAATATTTAACAGATAATATTATTTAATTCAGTTTTAGTTTATTCATAAAACATCAATGTAACCCAACAAGTAAGATTAACACAGGTAGTTTTAAACCTTTACAATATATTGGCTTCAATTCTCCACCTTTAGAAGATAATCTGGGGTTTTCAGATTGAGCTGCAGAGATGGAGGCTGGATAGGCAGAAAGGGAGGAGAAATAAGCAAAGCACAAAAAAGTTGATTGGATAAAACCTATCCAGTAGAATTTAAGGAGTGGAAGGGTAGAGGCAGGGCTGCTTAGTGTATATAAACAGGAAAGGTTAATAAGACAGGTGAGACAACGGGGAATACGAGAAGCAGTCTGTTGTGCTTGCAGGAGAATTTGATCTACAGACGCATCAGAAACTCAGGCATCCATCTGAACATTGTGAGTAGAATATATGAGAAACCTGTCAGCAGCTATCAGACTTTTAATGCTGCTGTTGCTGCTGTGTTGGAGCTGGACTTAAAAGAGCTGCCAGTGGGGAGTCCCACAGCTTCACAGAGCTTTAGCTGAGGCATATTAAACCTCAGCGCATGTTAAAAATGCATGTAATTTATGTCCGTTCTTGAGAATACACTAAAACTTTATGAAATTATAGTAAAGGACAGACCAGACCAGACCAGTCTTTTTTTTCTTTCAGTAAGCTGTTGATTAAGTGCATGCCACTCTAAAGATGACGGTCATTCTTTACATTCAGGAACACTAGGAACTTTATTGGGTTCTACTAGGTCTTTATTAGCAGGATGGATTCATTAAATCTTTTTAAGCACATTGCATGGTTAGAACTCAGAGAATTCAGCTTCCTCGTTTAATTTTTCTGTTGGGCTTTTTTGCATGCTTGTAATTTATTTGCACAATTAAAACCAGGAATATTCTGTACAGACATTACATTTTTGAATAAGCTGCTGGAGAGAATGTAATCAAAAAAACATAAAGTTATGATGAATTCAAACAGAATTATTGAAAAAAAAGAAGATTAGTTATGAATTTAAAATAACTGTTATTTCTATTTGAAATACATATTTCTACTTGTGTTCATTTTTTTAAACAGACACTAAAGGAATTGTTATGCGATCATGATATTAACCTAGATACAACTGAGAGGTTAATCCATTGTGACACCAAAATGGATCTAAAGGAAACACCTAAAGCACGAGTCAGAAAATAATAATAATAATGATGATATTCCTGTGTCTTTCAGAGCCAGAGATTGTGTTGTCCTGTTCATAAAGTACAATCTGTCTTTTTTACATTACAGGATCATCATGTCACTCACCAACATTCTTAAACCTGAGGACATTAAGAAGGCAGTTGACACCTTTGAAGGTAGAAAAACAACCGTCTGTTGAATTTAGACTTAAGTTAATATCAATATGTTACTAATTCAATGCAGTTTCCCCTACCAGATCAGATTTATGCTATAATATATTTAATATAGTGTTCAACAGATAATTTCCATCATACCAATGTATAACCCGGTTAACAGCAGCATTATTTTCCTCTATATCCTACCAGCTAAATCCTTTATGTCTGCTCCTGACTTAATTTTAGAATCTAAAAAGATTATTTTGTTTTGTTTTGCACAGTGCATGTGGCTGTAAGCTATAAAATAAAAAGAAGAACAGCCACATGCTGGTATAATCTCACCAACAGCCCCCAGCTAGGTGACTGTCAGGGTCATAGTCCTGTCTCTACCTTGCTTTGCGTGTGTTTATGATGTTTATATGTATCTGTGTGTCTGTTTGAGAAGCTGTAGGCTCCTTCAAGCATAAGGAGTTCTTCAAGATATGTGGCTTGTCCACAATGCCTCCAGAGAAGGTGCGAGAGGTGTTCAGGATCCTTGATGGTGACAATAGTGGCTACCTTGAAGAATCTGAGCTCAAGTACGTAAAAATATTTCTCAGCTCCTCAAAATGCCACTTAACCAAGATGCTTAACACTTATGATTCTCAAGTTGAGGTATTATTTAAAGCTGTGTAAGAATTTCTAGATTTACTGACAGAAATGTTACATATACATTAGTATGTTATTTAATATCATCTGAGAACAGAACTTCTCAATCTTTATGTCTGCTTTGCCTTAGAAATTGTTTTTTATAATTACAAAGGAGTGGGTCTCTGGAATGTATGGAGGCAGACATCTTTGCACTATGGCGGCACAGAGCTGACAGTCTGGAGACTGTACAGATTGCCTTTACACTCGAATGTGACCACGGAGTAACAACAACTGTAATTTTGCTACATGTGATGCGTAGAACTTGTTCAGTCCAGCTGTTTCTATTTGTCCTGCGTCCTTTCCGCCCATATGTGTGGGAGTCGCAGCAGAAATTATCTGTGTCACATTTTCTGGGCTGTAAAGGAGCTCTTCTCCAGACCATCCAGACATAATGGTTTTGTGCAATAAGATATGATGAGCTGGATTTATAATCCTGCAGCTCCAGATGGCATTTCTGGATAGATGGTATGTCTCTACTATTGCTATTTCTGAGAGTCCATATATGTTTAAGTAAGCACTGACCTCTCTGCATTGTTTGTCATTGTTGCAATGCCTCCTTCTCTGAGAAATTTACAAATATATGCAACTGATTTTTAAATGTCCTAAATATAGACCCTGAAAATGCATGAACAAATAGCATTACTTTTGCGTGTCCTCCTCCCAGTATTCTGCACTTTCTGGTGATTAGCATTTGTTCTGAATTTCCATTAAGGTAAATACACTCAATAGTGTGACCTTCTATTTTGTGTATGTCACTGATGAAATTTTAGCTGTGCCTGCATGGTAGTAAGCTGGCAAGCCTGTAATTGAGAATTTTGGAATGCACTGCAGTAAAAAGTATGGTGGCTGAAAGGTGCAAACGTGCTGTAAACGATGAAACCAGCTGCAAAAATCTATAGTTTGTGATGCTAACACCAAAACACTCAAGCACAAAAAACAAATGCAAAAGAAAAACGTTGCAAAATACAAAGAAACAAGTTATAAACAGGCAAAAACATGCAGCAAATGGTGAAATATGCTGCAAACATTGGTAATATGATCAGGGAGATACACAGCTTAGGAGTTAAGCATCGAAGCATCGAAGCAACAAAGCAACACGAAACCAGCAATGGGGAACTGCAGAGGAGGCGTATATATGGGGAACAGAACAAAGAATGAGCTAATGAGCTGATATGGAGCAGGTGTGGATAGAAGTAACTAGAAGGGAGCCAGGGGGAAAGGAAACGGGCATAAGGGGAAGGCAGAGAGTTAGATAAAAACACAACACTGCCAGAAAATAACTTCAAAGACACAAAATTACAAAGAAACTAAAAATAAACCTAAACAAAGAACTCAGAGTCCAAAGGCAGAACCTGAAGTCCAAAAAACACCAAACAACCCAACCAGGGTGAGCAGACAGGGCCCTAGATGGAGCGCCAGAAAAAAAAAAAAAAAATCAGAGTCCAATAAACTAAAACAATCCAAAAACAAAACCACCACCAAAAGTGGGGAACGGTGAGGCAGAGTATCTGGAGGCCGGCTTTAAAGCTGGAGATCAGGCAGAGTCTCTTCTATAATGACAGTTCTCAATTATAGATTAAGAGCTCTGATTATATTTTTGTTATGACATTTATCTGATGTGTTGAAAGCTAGAGATGGTCCAAACTGTGGTTTAACCAATGGTTGTGTCAGTCTCTTTTTTTTATATTTGTGTTTGTTTGCAGGGACTTCTTAAAATGGTTCAACCCTGAAGCACGGACTCTAACTGAAGAAGAAATAAGATTTGTTTTATCGGGTGATGAAAACGATGATGGCAAAATTGGAGAAGATGGTCAGTATCTAATTCTTCCCATTGGCCAAGTTTAAAACATTGTGTTAGGAGCTGAGTTAGTTGGAAAAAAACCCTCCACAGTGGAACTCGAAAAAAATACAAGTTAACAAGATTTAAGGGTTAATATATTTATATATGATATACAACATATATGTAGTCTTATAGTTTGTCTAAATTAAAAACTCAAAATTGTGAATAAGAAAAAATGATATATAGTTTTATAATATATTCAGAAAAATACTGCTAAGTGGAATTTATCTAAATTAATGAATAGCACCCATATGTGTATAATTTATTATCTGCTGTTTAGTGACGCCATCAGAGTTATGTTAAAGAACAACAGTGATTAATTGGAACGTGAAGACCTTGAAGCACAAAAGACATTTCAGAGATGATGTTTTGATGTGGTTGGGTTCTACACACTTTTCCAGGCTTAAGTCTAACACAAGTGAAAAATGTTGACATGTAGAAGAGATTTTCAGGAACAAATATTGATTCCTTAGTTCTCTTATAACACTGTATCTGTTACCTGTGGGTTCCACAGGGATGGGTTCTGAGACCATGTTGAATTGTTTTTAAACATCCCATTGAACTGTCATCATCTGAACTTTGAATGGGATTTGTTGTGACTTTTATGCAGATGATGTTCAACTGTATAAATATTTAAAGTCTCATTAGCTGGACAAACTGTCTACCATATTGTATTTGTTTACTTAAAATCAGTGTTTAGCTTTCCAGCAATAATGGGTTTTAAACACCAGTAAGAGTGGCGCCATAACCCTAAATCCTCCTAACGAGGAGGGGTTAGATTCTCTCCAGCAGCTCCAAAGACTAGCTACGAAAACGTGTAATATTCAATTTTCAGGCCTTTGACTCACATGTAAGATCTCTATCTGTTCCTAATTCTCTCTTTCATTTCTATTATGCAACCTGTATTCTCTTCAGTTAAACTGGAAAAATAAGATCAATCATACATTTGTGTCATTTTCTCTTTAAACCTTTAAAAGCCCGATCCAACATTAAAACAAAACAGAAAATTACTTTTTTTTTTTGTTTTAAAGTCCTTATTTGGCCTTTTAACAAAATATGTAAAAAGAAAAAACAAAAATAAATTTTTGATATTAATAATTTATTACTATGCGATAAGTCAAGATTATTTTTTGTGTAGTCTTCTACAGGTATATCTGATTGTGTACAATAGGATTTTGAGCAAAGTTTTTACCATTAAATTATGCAAAAGGTGTCAGACGCAAAACATTTCAGAAACCGTATGTATCAAATATGATACATTTGGCATTACAGGGTTAAAGCCTAAAACAGTCGTTCAGTTAAATGTTCTACCAAGCAAATTCACATGAGCTCACATGCAGAGGTGAGTAGTAACTAGTTACACTTACTCAGTTACATTTATTTGAGTAACTTTGAGAAAAACATACCTTAAGGAGTAGTTTTTCTTCATCATGCTTTGTACTTTTACTGGAGGAAAATATGATGAGGTATCTCTAATCTTACTTGAGTAGAATATCTGGCTGCCATCTTGAGTAACTTCACTCGATGAAGAACAGGCTTGTTTAAAAAAAAATGCACTAAAGAGAAAAACAGCTACAGTTATAACAAGGCGAGACTCCAGCTTCTTTGTTTTAATGTATTTTTTTTTTACACATCCTGCCGTGTGAGTTTGAGGTCATGTTACAGGAAGTAACTTTCCATATTCTTACCCACATACATAACATACTATCAATAATGATATCAGAGATTTTATACCAAAATATCTTGTGCTTCCTCCACTTGATGTTATATTATTTTAGTAGCCTTTTTCTCAATTTGTTTTACTCTTGCTTTAGCGGCTAGTTTTTACTTCTGCGTGAGCAAAAATATAATGAAGCGGTGCTACTCTTACTTGAGTAAAATTTTTTGGCACTTTATCCACCTTTGATCAAATAACCCTTTATGAGATTTAATTATTTATTTTAATACTCGCACGCAAAAAAAACGTAAGCCCATAACAGTAAAAAGCCAAATAATTCACTAAAATTTTTTTTAAATATATATATAGATGTATATAAATATATATTTCTACTTTAGAAAGCAATTAAAACTTTCTTATTTAAACAAGCCTTTCATTTAAATGCTTTTTTTTTTATGGTGTGCTATTTTTTATAGTTTTATGTGATGTTTTGTCTAAAATTTGCTTCACAAAAAAAGTGTAACTGTTTATTATGGGGTATGAATACAAATTTAACCAACGCTTTTCAATTTTATTCTTAGAAATATTGTTAAACCTATGCAACTATTCTTTACCAACCCATTGACCTTTGCGGTTTAAATTTTACCAAAATTTAGATGCAAGTTGTCATAACCATGCTTCTAATTGTTAAGAAAGTGTTTAAAACAAAATGTCTGCTTTTGCAAAGTGAATTAAGGTATTAGGTTTACACATAATGTGGTAAATTTTGACAATAATTTATTTATTGTTCTAATGTCACGACCCTGAATTAAATATATTCAACATAATTCTCTATAGATGTAGGTTTCAGCAAATATGGTAACTAGATATGAAAGAATAAATGCAGCCTGGTGTCACATGTAATGCAAAATTTGACAGTACATTTTTATTTGTTAATTTTATGTTTCACTTTTCTCTAGAATTCCTAGAAATGGTCAAGTCCTGAGTATTACCAACAAAAGAAGCCATCTGGAATCTTATCAACCTTTGGAGTTTCTGATAGCAGCTTCTATTCCCAGGAATTTTTGATGATTTCTATTCATCTAAATTTTTAACTGGTATTTCTTAAACTCCACCTTTCAGTGTCTTTCCTTCTGGTGCATGGTTTCTTGGCTTTAGAGATTCCCCCTGTCTGTGATAAAGAATGATATAAATAAAGATCAAGAGACATATATCTACATATATGAGCAGCGTTTTTATTCATTTATGTTTTCATTGATTAATTTCCACACAAATGTTGTGCCATACGCCATGATCATGGATTTTGGACATTGGAGACCAGTGCCCATGTTCCATCTTGACATGATGACCAGAGAAGAAGCAGCAGCTTTGGTGAATAAACAGCTGAGGAATCCCCCCCCCCCTTACCTTTTTTCTGCCAAGGCCTCCACAGGCCAGTCACATGGTAAGCCATAGAGGTGTGACCAACCACCCCCCTCTGTGTGAGAACAGCCAAAACCACAGAGGACACAGAATCTCTTTCTCTTTGCCTCCTCTCCCTTGCCCGTGAAGCTGGGGTCCACTTCGACCCAGATCTTCACTGTGGTGGAGAACCAGGGCCCAGGGGGAACCAGATCTCCAGAACCATCAAGAATAGGTCAGAACCTTTCAGAACCAAGCTGCTGCAAAACAAACCTTTTGCAACACATTTCTCTTGAGTTTCAGAACTTATAGAGCCAGACTGTACGAGAAAACCTGCCTTGATGAGCTACTGAGACAAAGAGGACCTCTGCTGTGAGCCACTGAGACAGATAGAGACTGCCTTGCTGTGGCCTGCCTGCTAAGCTCCTGCTGGATGGAAACTTAACCTTCCATATGGACACGGACGAAAAATGTTTGCAGGTCTGGCATGGTTAGGGACAGAACAAACATGTCTTTTGATGATGAGTAGAGACAAGCTAACAGGATGGACTGCATGCTCTGCTATGCGACAATAATATGTTTTGAGCTGTTGTTGAAGCTTTGACAAGCTTTATTTCACTAAGGGTTTAAACACTGATATAACATTAGTGTTCATGTGTTCCTCAGATGCTCGTTACATTTCCATTACCAAGAGTCCAAGAGTCATTTAGTGGAATCCTGATGTCTATTCGCTGCTAGCTATTTCAAAGAGGGTAAAGAATCATTTAGCTAAAGGTTATTGATTTATTCTTGATTAAGCAAATCATTTAATAAAACATTATTTGGCCAAATAATGTTTTATTCACCTCATGGATTTGCATTGTGAATTGGTCTGAAAATATTCCAAATTTTCTAAATTAGTGAAAAAGTAATTTGATCATATCCCAAATTATTCCAGATAAACTTTGGTTTCAAACATAAAATCCATCTTAAACTCTAATGTGGTTTTCAACCATGTTTCCCCTTCATCTTTGTACATAGTAGTTAGTTTAGTTCAGTTTCACTAGTTTTAGTTAAGAGTATTGAACTGAAATATGTTTGACTTGGAGCTGAATGATTTTTGTTAATAAACTCTTATATTTTGAACAGAAGTTGTGGTGAATTTATTCCATGTTCCATCTGCACAGTACCTACAGTAGCAGGACTGATAACCTTGCAGATTGTCCAACAGACTATGAGACAGAGGCGGTTTCAAACATCATGTAAAAATATGCTATAGTTTCTTAGACCTTTATATACTTTTAAGCGTTTTTATTGGAAGTGATGTCATATTTCTCATAGATTATAAATGATTTTATTTAAAACTGAATATATTACTAATTATAAAATGGTTATCTTCATGTGAAGACAGGCCATTTTATATAATTCAGTTTATTTATATAGAGCCAATTCACAACACATTTCATCTAAAGGCACTTTACAGTTCACCAGATTATACAGTCAGATTGATTCAGTTTTCTATCTAAGGAAAACCAGTTGATTGCATCGACTCATTGACTCGAAGGCAATCCCTCACATCAAGGATGCTTGTAGCAACAGTAGAGAGGAAAAACTACATTTTAACAGGAAGAAACCTCCAGCAGAACCAGGCTCAGTGTGAGCGGCCATCTGCTGAGGCCGACTGGGGTTCAAGGAGACAGAAGCAGACATAGAAAAAGACTCAACCAGCTCCACAGGCGGCCCCATCCAGGAAACACACAGCCAGGCAGACGAGCTCCGAGCCAGCTCCCATGTCAATGGATGAAAGAGAACACATACAGTTAGTCACAGAAATAAAACTATACTGACGACAGGCCAAGCTCCAACATCTTCAAAAAACAAAAGGAAAAAGGTTGATGGCAGCAGTACAGCTGATATTTCTCTCCATGATGGAGTCACAGCCAAAAAGACCAGATGAAGCTACTAAGAGAAAAAGCAAAGAGAGCATAGCATCAGAGATTAAACTAACAAATTCTACAGAGTGGGAGAATCAAGCAGAATGATGAAAAAGGGTCCCTATGTCCTCCAGCAGTCTAAGCCTATAGCTGCAGAACTATAGATATAGCTCAGGATAACCTGAGCCACTCTAACTATAAGCTATATCAAAAAGGAAAGTTTTAAGCCTAGCCTTAAAAGTAGACAGGGTGTCTGCCTCAAGGACCCAAACTGGTAGTTGGTTCCACAGGAGAGGAGCCTGATAACTAAAAGATCTGCCTCCCATTCTACTTTTAGAAATTCTAGGAACCACTAGTAAACCTGCAGATTGAGAGCGAAGTGCTCTGTTAGGAACATAAGGAACAATCAGATCTCTGATATCAGATGGAGCTTGGCCATTTAAGGCTTTATATGTGAGAAGGAGGATTTTAAATTCTATTCTGGATTTAACAGGAAGCCAATGAAGAGAACCTAGGATGATCTCTCTTTTTCATTTCATCAGAACTCTGGCTGCAGCATTTGGATCAGCTGAAGGCTTTTAACTACAGTCTGTGGACTTCCTGATAGTAAAAAATTTAAATAGTCCAGCCTTGAATGGATGTTTTGCTCGTTAATTTTCCTTTTGGAACAGTGTAGACTGACCGTGAGGTTCTGATGCCTATCCGCTTTCGGCCCCCCCTCACTGTACATTGGTTATTGCCTGGCCACCCTTATAAACATGTTCTGGCTACGCCTCTGATGTTTAGTTGAAGAGATCCATCCAAGCTTATGCCTTCGAGACAGAGTTTGATTGCGATGACCCCTGAGTCCTGATTAAAGCTTCAGTGGATGGAGAAGCTGAATCAAACTGCAATGATGAGAATGATAAACAAAACTTGAACTGTTGCTAATTCTATAGGCCTACTGCTTGATAAACTTCTGTGCAGATTACGTCCAAAAGTATAGCCTATGTTATCACGATAGAGATGTGATTTCCCAGTGCTTCTTTAAACAGAATAATTTTTCTTGAACCAGACAACATGGTTTTTTAATAGTTTGATTTAAAACAGGGGGATTTTCTCATCAACCTTTTTCATGTGCTTTCCTGTTCCCAAATCCATGCACTGTTCTTAATCCATACTTGTATGTACACCTGTAACCCCATACTTCCCACCTGCCCCGCGTCCCCTTACAATTAAACATAAAAAATTAATAGGAAAGACAGCAAGAACACCATGAAAAAAGTCCTATCGGCTTCATTGTGCCTTTGGTAATGTCACCAGACCAACTTGTGTAACACACTGTGACTGCAGTCGGAACCTTAATTAGTGGGAAGTCCCCATTACCCGGACATCTGAGTGTGTGACCCCGCACTGTCAAAAGCAGGAAATGAACGCTTAAAAGTGCTATAATGTGAGCGATGTGAGTTATTTCCCCCCTATTCTCCTTTATTTACACAATATCTAGGTGCATCTGAACGTGTGGGTCGCATTGTCTGGAAGGTGAGTGCTTACTTAATTTTTAAGGAACGTGTAAAGTTAGGTTCGGTAACCCGGTTAGCATGTTGGCTAGGTTCTGCTAGCTGTGTCAGTGGCTAAGCTACAAATAATGGGAAGAAGTTGATGGATTCTCGTCAGGTTTCTAAATCTGTAACATCTGAATGCACTTTGTAACATTTTAGTGCAACACTTGGCTTTGAAAGACATTTGAGGCTCATTTTTTGGTACATTTTCTTCTTTTCGTGAGATTTTGCCGGCTTGTCAGCTTCACTCTTTTATAGACTTTAAACATCAAACAGCAAACTACAGGAGATCAGTCCTTTTTTAGAAATCAGTTATTTTCGAATAAAGTTAGATTTTTCCCTCTTTGGAGATCTAAAATTAAATTAATAAACTCTGAAATCTAGAGCTGCTTAGAAAAACGCTAAGGACTTTGAGAGATGTCTCACATTTCTCCTAAACTGATTATTTGCACTTATCTCTAAAGCAAAATTAAGTATCAAAACCTCATGTCTTAGAGAAATGATCAGACTGTGTATAAAGTAGGAAAAAAATATAATAAAGGTAACACAGATATTATTGTTATTTTCCAGAAAACATACAAGTTTAATGTAAAGAATTTGGTCAATCGGCCTTTTAAGCAGAAATTCTGTTAAATTTTGACTTTTACTTCAGATGGTCATGTTGGGTCTGATTTCCTCATGTTTTTTTTTTATTATAATTATTATTATTGTTGTTATTATTCATGAAATGATGTAGAGACAAGAGGTTACTGCTAGAGTTGTAACCAAATATTAGGTTTTCTTATATCATGCTGCTGCTTCTGTAGCTCCCCATTGACTCCAGATAACAGTTTAAGATCTTATTCTCACTTATTGGGCTTTGACCAGTTAAGCATCAGCTTGCATCTCATTCCTTTTAAATCAGTATATCCTTAGCAGGTGATTTGAACCATCTGCTATTTAGTTTGAGGTCAGTGGAATCTGTTAAGATTTTGAAGAACCAACTAAAAGCCAACAACTTAGAAATCACTGAATTACTTATTTTGATTTTCTGACCTTTTAATGTTTTTGGTTTTCTTCCATACATCACTTTATTATTCTATTGATTTTACACCATTTTACACAAATATCATCCAATAGAAGAACATATAGCTATCATGTTTTTGCAGAAGATTGACACCCCATTTTTTTAAGCATAATATATATGAAATGAATTGTGATTCTGTAAAAAAATTCCAACAAACTTTCTAGTGTAGATATTTATCAAACAAACTATAAACTCTAACCATGTTTTATTTAAATGAATTAAAGGGAAAAATGTCTCTCTTTAAAGGTTGCTGAGCTTTGGTGCTGACTAACATCTCACTGCATTTTAATGAGAGACGAAGCTTAGAAGTTCTATTTAATTATTTTGTCCTGTAGGCAAACGGCATGGTACCCAGATTGTCAGTGGAAGAAAGGAAACCCAGATACAGTTTACACTAATGCTAATGATAAGGTAAGAAGGATTCAGAGATCGTATTAGTGTGACCTAATTGAAACTGAAGGTTTTTTTTTTGTCTTTGTGCCTTTTCCAGTCCCAAAATGGCCTCAGGAGCGCAAGAGAAACAGTTCACACAATCCCTTCTGAGTTTTTTCATTTATAACCCTACGCTTGGACCACGCGAAGGAGAGGTGAGCAGGACTTTCAGTGGATGACGTCCTTTTATCTTGTTTTTGAATGATTTTAATTCATTTAAATATTTCCACTTAGGAAGAGAAAAAGATTTTGTTTTACCACCCGAGTGAGGTCGAGAAGAATGAGAAAATCCGAAATGTGGGCCTTTGTGAAGCAATTGTTCAGTTCACCAGGTAAAATTAATACTTTTTATGGGAAATGCCTGAAGATACATTAGACTGAATGAAGTGTCTGAAAATCAGCTTTTAAGTATTGCTGCAAATTCTTAGATGGATTTAGGTCTCTTCAAAGACTGGATCAGTTTAACACTTGGATATGTTTTGAGCTACGCTATTCTATGGTGTAATCGTTAGCACTCTGGACTCTGAATCCAGAGATCTAAGTTTAAATCTCAGTAGGACCTTCTTTCTTGGGGGAGTCTTGGTCTAGTGGTTAGAGCAGTGCACTGGTGCTCTAACAAAGTTGAAAGTACTTGGTTCGATTCCTGCATTCTGGGTCTTTGAGCAAAACTCTTAACCCCACACTGCTCCCCATGATGGCGGCCCACTGCTCCCCAGGGGATGGGGTAATGCAGGGGTAAATTTCTCCAGTGTAAGATCAATAAAGTTCTATTATTATTATTTCATGGTAGATGCAGCTTTATGTTTAGTCACTTAAACGTCCTTTGCAGCCTCTAAAAGATCTAGAAAAGATTGTGTTGTTAATGTGCCTGCTGAGGTTAGGAAAGATGACTAGATGCGCTCCAGCACTACCATCCTTGTTTACTTTCTTAAACACAGAGCAGGCTAGCTTGTGATGACATTGAGTGCTGTACTGCTCGGGAGATCACATGCAAGTTGCATATATTTTTAAATGTGAACGACCACGCAAAAGAAACAGATTTCACAAAACAAAAACAGAATTGAGCATTAATGCTGAATGCAGCCATAAAGTGTAGTTTTCATCCATGAAAAGTGATCTTTGACAGAACAGGGAAATTATTTAATTAGTGTGTGCTTGCTCACTGACGCATATCAGAACTATTATAGAGAACAAAGGAGCTTTGTTTTTTGTTCTATATTTTTCCATTCCCCTTCCTTTTGTGTTTCAGGACTTTCTGTCCAACAAAACCAGCAAAATCTCTGCACACACAGAAGAATCGGCAGTTTTTCTTTGAGCCAGAGGAACATTTTTGGATAGTCATGGTAAATAACATTTAAAGATTTCTTGGTCGCTGTGGACTTGTTTCCATCTTTAGCAACTTTAATGCTTTGTGGAGTGTTTTTATTTTCTTGTTTATGTTTTCCTTAGGTTGTTCGAAACCCAATGATTGAGAAGCCGAACAAAGATGGCAAACCTCCAACGATAGAGTATCAAGAAGAGGAAATACTGGTGAGTTGGTGCTTGTAAAAAGGCAAGGGCTGCGGATGAACTGAGAAAATTACCTCAGTTTAAGTATCATAGGTCTGTAACAAAAAAAAAAACAAACCCAAAATGATTGTATTACTTTTATAAAAGACAAAAAAAAAGCAAATGTTTATTTCTGTTGAGATTTATGCTTTTTTTTCTGCTATTAGATTCCAAAACATGGAGGGAATCTCTTTCATTTTGTGATAGTTCAGAACAGGCTCTATGCACAGCTCCACTACTTCCTGAATTTAAAGCAGCTCCTTTGTTTCCTGTCTTTCATTACTGGACGAACTGATTAATCCAGGTGTGTCTGGCCAGTTACTTAGGTCATACACACCTGGATTAATCAGTGCATCCAATCATGAAAGACAGGAAACAAAGTAGCTGCTTTAAATTCAGGAAGTAGTGGAGCTGTGCATAGAGCCCATTGCTTTGTGCTCTCAGGGCACCAAAATTGAATTTACAGGTCTAGCACCTCTAGTGGTGAAAGGTGACCGAGGGTTTTATTAATTATTAGTTGCAAATAAATATATCTTAACTATGAATTATTGTTTGACCCACAGACTAAAGCAGAAATATAGATTAAATATATGTGATAGGATATTATTATCAGGTTCTTATTGTCCAGGATATGTTCTGCTCTTTATTGAGTGAAAATAAGATTTTAAATAAAGTTTTTAAAAAGGAAATGTTTTAACTTGTTAGTACCCTTTTAAAAAGTCAAACCCTCTCTGGGATTAATGAACTTGCCAGTATTATGATGATTTATCTCCAGGAGAGAGTTTCAAACCTTTGGTGTTGAAGGCCCTCTGTACCATCTCCCTAATTTTTAGCTCGCTCTAATGATTTTTAGATTCACTTTGTTATTGTGGATGTGGCAATCCAAAAGCATGAATTGATTCTTTCAGTGAGAGAATATGTTGACTGAATAAAAATAATTTAAAACCAAATCTGTTAGAATTCAACTTGACTGTAGCAGTGGGTCTTAATTAGGAGCTGGTTAATCAGAATCACTTTATTAATTAATCTGCTGCTTAAAGGAATAGTACACCCAAAACATGATTAGCCTTCATTTTCTACTCACCTCCATGCCGAACAACACTCTGGAGTACTTTTTTGATATCTCAAATGCATCTGGAGATCTGGGAGGCTTCTTGCTGTCTGCTGACATTCAAATAATGGAGGTCCATGGCGCCCGAGACAGAAAGGTCCATAAAAGTCCACAAAAACGTGTCAATATTCCTCCATACTGCTCGTCCAATGTAATCCAAGTGTCCTGAGTGGGTAGCATCCAGAATTTACTCGAAACGAAGTAATTTAGAATGTTTTTAGAGCATAAACAGTAGTGTATAGGATTTCCTAATAGCGCCCCCATGCGCGCTCACGATTCTACGGAAGCCGGCAGACCAAACCGGAAGGAAGTGCGCATTCAGCGTCTGGTCTGCCGATAATGCAAGCGTAGAAGAAGAAATGTGCTGTTTACCTGTGCAAAGAAAGAAACAACGAAAGAAAAATGTCTGAGGACTTCAGTGTTGAGGAAGAGCATGAGTTCTTTGCCGAGCTGAATGCGCTGGTTTGGTCTGCCGGCTTCCGTAGAATCGTGAGCGCGCATGGGGGCGCTATTAGGAAATCCTATACACTACTGTTTAGGCTCTAAAACGTTCTAAATGACTTCGTTTCGAGTAAATTCTGGATGCTACCCACTCAGGACACTTGGATTACATTGGACGAGCAGTATGGAGGAATATTGACAAGTTTTTGTGGACTTTTGTGGACCTTTCTGTCTCGGGCGCCATAGACCTCCATTATTTGAATGTCAGCAGACAGCAAGAAGTCTCCCAGATCTCCAGATGCATTTGAGATATCAAAAAAGTACTCCAGAGTGTTGTTCAGCATGGAGGTGAGTAGAAAATGAAGGCTAATCATGTTTTGGGTGTACTATTCCTTTAAGAAGCTCTGGAATCGCACAAAAAACAGATCCTTTCAATTCATTTTATTAATTTATCTATTGATGCAATTTTTTCCTAACCTTCTCATTTCAATTTTCCACCATGTTTTCCTTGTAGGATACGGTTTATGGTGCAGTGGTTCGGCAGTGCTACAGCATGTACAAGGTAAGAATTATTCCTGCATCAGAGGCTGCTTCACCTTACGGCTAACATTTGAATAAAGAAAAAGATCATTGCACAGATTAAAATTAATAGTATATGACAGAGTAATTAAAGGGTAAATAATATCCGATCATCAACATTTTTTTTTAAAGTCAAGATATATTATACTTTTTTAAATGTTTCTTTGTATCTGTGCAGTTTTGTCTTAATTACTGCTGTAAGTAGGTTATTCTTTCAGCAGATGCCATGTTTTAGAGTCTGTACTATTACAGCAGGAAACAATTTAATTAGTAAATTATTAGACAATTTTGATATTTTTTTTTCAAATTGGTTAATCTTGATTAATCACCAAATATATGATTCTAGTTCGCATTAACAACAACAGCTTTAACTCCTCTCAGCTGCTCTCGTTCCGTACTTGCCAGGTCTCCTAATACTAACCTTTAGTTAACTTTACCAAATATGTTTTATCTGCCTGTTCAGTAGAAACGTGGGAACATCTGCGTAGCTTCTAAGCCCCTATTCTTTTTTAAGTCGTCACTGATTAAAATCTTGACATGTTCACCGTCGATTTGTTTCCTGTTTGGGATTTTTGGCTTTAATTTGGGGCTCGTTTCCAATGTTGAAAATCAGGGAGGACATTCAAGCGAAGGTAGAGGTGCATAATAATTAGTTCCATCAGAATAGTTCTGTTAGTTAGGAAGGAGCTAGGAAGGGGAAGCAGTATACTTCCTATCACCAGTTCATAAAGCATAGGAAGTAGGGGTGGAACGGTTCACAAAATCCACGGTTCGGTTCGGGTCACGTGGTCACGGTTTTCGGTTCAGTTCGGTATATGTTGATTGTTACACTGAAATCCCATAAAAAGTAATGAAAAAAAAAAAAAAAAAATTTATGAATTGTAATTATTTTTAATGATCCGCGGAAACCATGGATCATTTCCGCATGTTTTGCTGCTTTGAATTTAATCATCTGGCGCATGCCCTCTACCATCTCCAAGGAACTCAGAGCGGAGCGGACAGGAGCCACAGTGGAGGCTGTAGGCTTTGCTTTGAGCAGCCGGTCTGGAGCGCAGCGGGGCGGAGCGCTGACGGAGTATGTGGGATTTCGGGGTTAGCATGACATGTTGTTCATGTTGCTGTTAGCATAAACAAAACGTGTTGCACAATGCTTGCACACTGTTGCACTTTTATCCACAACTTTCTTTCCGCCGTCATCGTAGGTCACTCTAAATGCAAAGTGGTCCCATACAGCAGACCTATATAGTGCTGCTGGCGCGTCTTCCAACTCCTGTTCTTTCCCACTCGCCATACCCACACAATTCTCCACAACTACTGATTTTTTTTTCTGCTACGCCCGGTTAAGCTGCTTCGCTTCTTCTTCTTGTTTACTATTGGTGGTTGGCTTTGGTCGCAGTACCGCCACCTTCTGCTCTGGAGTGTAAACGCTTCGCCTATGAGAAAAAGGAGCAACGCATGAACCGAACGCAACACACACGAACCGAACCGAGACAGTAGAACCGAACGGTTCGGACGGTTTTCATCAACCGTTCCATCCCTAATAGGAAGCTCCCCTGCTAAGAGCTAAAAGATTTCCCACAATCCTTTGTGTGACAGAACATAAAGGTACAGCCCACCTCACAGAGTTTTGGAAAAATGCATTACTGCTTCACCTGTATTTGTGTGACACATGCTAATGTTCACACCTTCGCAGTTGTTTGTTCCTTTTGTCAAATGGTTGTTTTCTGTAAAGCAAACATCCTTCCTGTGTTCTTCTTCTGTTGGTGTCCATAAGGCTGAACGCTGTTCAGATTCACCACAGCAGTTTGGAGTTACTGATCTAACTTGGATAGTGTTCCTATTGTTGACCCCATGAAAGGTGAAGGAACAGAAGGGAGGGGCTACAATTTAATTAGGTCAGAAGGAGGCTGGGAAAATTAACTCAGCTCTATCAAGGAGAAATCTCTCACATGACTTTAACCTGCTTTCCTATTGGTGCAGAATCTTTCATGCTGACGTTGGCTTCACAACCCGATGTAAATATTTAATGCAGCCGTCAAAATTTATAAAGCAACCTGCTGTTTTTAAAGCTTTTTTTCAGTAAAATGGATGCTTTTATTTTGCTCCTCTAGACATATTTCTCATATTTTTGAGAAGTTGATCGTTTTGATTAAAAGTTATAGATATGACTTTAATATCCTGATAACCTGAACCCTCAGATGTGCTTAGAGTTTAACAATGACTTCTCTTTTTCAGCTATTTAACGGCACCTTTGGTCGAGCGATGGAAGCGGGTGGAGTGGAGCTGCTCATTCAGAAGCTTGAAAAGTTTTTCTACAGGGTAAATATCGCTGACATCTGTCCAATGACTCTTTTCTACCCGATGTTGTTGCTAGGTGTATTTATGTTTTTGACTGTACATATTGTCTTTAGCACAGTGTGTCAAATTAACTCCACCATGGCTTCCATAAAAAGTCACCAGAGCCTGACGGCTGGTGTTTTCACAAGCAGTGAGATCCTCTCTGAGTATTTGATGATTATTTCAGGTGGCTCCTTTAGTGCCTTTGTAAACAGTTGGGACCTGTTTGCAGTCGTGTTTAATTTCTTGGTCCTTCATGACCCGCATTATACGTTCCTTTCTCAGCAGCAACAGAACTGTTGGATTAAACACTGTAGAAAAGTTTTAAAAATTCATTTCTAATTAGGAAACACCCGAAGTGGATCCAGGCTTCCCTCTCCGATGTGTAATGTACACACGGAGGGAAAGTAGACGTTACGGTGTTCTGTATCTGACCTTGATTGTCAGATGGATATCTTATCCTTTTAATGATGCAGAAGCTTCTGCAGCCGACCGGTCAAGAGCTGCTTAGTCTGCTGTCTTTATTGCCTTGTAAACAAGCTTTTGTAAACTAATCCGTTTCTTTGCTTTTTTTTGTCTCTGTATCTGTCTGCGTGTTCTCTCTGGGCATTCCAGTATCTGCAGACGCTCCACTTGCAGTCCTGTGACCTGCTGGATGTATTCGGAGGCATCAGCTTCTTTCCGCTGGACAAGATGACCTACCTGAAGATTCAGTCATTTGTTAACAGAGTGGAGGAGAGCCTCAGCCTCATCAAATACACGTCCTTCCTCTATAACGACCAGCTTATCTGGTACGAATGCTTAAAACTTTGCAAGCTTGTCCAACTAATCTAGTCTCTGTGAATATTGTCTGCTCCCACTCCTCTAAAAACAAACACTGCATATTTGCAGCTTCTCACAATGGTAGAATCACAATATTAGAGTGTGTAAACTAATAATTAAACACCGAATAAACAGAGGTGGTACTAGACATGAACCTAATCCTCTTTGTGGTTTGACTAGTCACATAATGTTAGCCTCCATAATCCGTAGGTAAATACATGGCTGTCAACTAAAGGAATTCACAGAACACCTTCTACAGAGAGGGAAAAGGTTCTTTAATTATTTCTGTATAAGTGATATGCTCTCTGTTGCAAAAGAGGAAGCATTTTAATGATTATTTTAATGGTTTAAAAGTGATTGGTTCTATTTTTGTCTCCATGTTTGTGCAGGAGTGGGCTGGAACAGGACGACATGAGGATCCTTTACAAATACTTGACCACGTCTCTTTTTCCCAGGCATTCGGAGCCTGAGGTAGATGGAAGTGTAACTGTGTCACTGTGCCTGGCAAACTTTATCGCATTTTATCGATTCAACCAAAAATGTTTAAATTCTAAGGTCAAAAATGTTTCTGCTGTTAGGAAGCTTCTCAGCAGCGACATGGAAGCTGATCAAGGTTTAATGGAAACAACAAATACAGAACCATCCTATGAGAAACTCTGTTAGATGCTGAGAGGAGTTGGGTCACCATCAGGCTATTAGATAGCACATTGTACGGCCTTTACAAAAATAAAAGACAAATTTCCCCTTTTTCTCTTCTGAAAAATTCACTCTGTTAAAAATTTCACAGGCAAAAAAAGCTGGAGTTGGAAAATTAGAACTTTTGCTGCTTGATGCATGACATCAACCAATGAGAGGAGCTTATCTGGTAGCAGGCAGGGAGACAGACAGAGTGCTGCTGATGAAGATCACTGAACTGAAAATTTTATTAATGCCTAAACTAACTTAAAAAATCCAAACCTGCCAGCAAAATGTGTTCTTTTATTATTGTGGTGCCTGCAGTTTGAGCCACATACCTGAAAAACACTAACATCTACTTCCAGCCGCCACCAACAGCAGGGGAGGGCCTAACGCAGTATGTGGAGGTTTGAGCGGCTCTAATAGAGAAATACTTTTTAAAGAAAGGATCATAATCCTGATGAACTGACTGCACAGACCATGTTTTCAGGTGGACTTTCTCACATAAAAATATTAAAGCTACTTTTTACCCACTGATCACAGCAAATATAGCAAATCCGCTCTCTGTCATTGAACACAGGAGCAGTAGAAGCATCAGATGCATCTGAACACACTTTACTGGATGTCTAACCTTAATATGGACAAGCATAAGAAATGAAGCAGCAGAAACTTTGTTGCTGCTGAAATCACGTGCCGTGTGAACGTAGCTTTAGACTTTCTGGTTGTTTGAATCAACCTATGAATCAGAATATTCTACCTAAAAATCTAATGTCTTCATTATGAAATTTCCACCTCTAGTCAAGCAAACATACTTCCCATAATCGGGACAAAATTAGTGTTGGAACAAAGACAAAAAGTTGGCTACATTCCACTTCAAAATGCAGGAAATGCAGCTTCATAGAGCCTATATTTAAAATTTTTAGCCACCTATGACCTGCAAAGCCTAAAAATATGGTACACCAAGGTGTACAAACTATGAAATATTCCTAGCTAAAAGCCTGGTCACCATAAGTAGGATGATGACCTCATGAAATGGAAAAGATCAACTCAAACTTGGAACATTGTGAACAAATTAAACATCTCATCTCCCATTTTAGAAAATTAACTTTTGAATTTGAAATTTTTTAAGAGATTATTGTGGCTTACAGAAAATAGACACTCGTTCAGTCTGAGATAATAAAAAAATTGTGTGAGATCAATGGAAAAGAGATGAGTTTGCCGTCCATTTATAATTCTTTTCTTTCCAAAATGTACTAATACTAGATGATCTAATCAGTGTTGGGAAAGTTCTCTTTCTACGTGAACTAGTTCAAAGTTCAGTTCACACATTTTAAAATGAACTAGTTCAGTTCATAGTTCATAATTCAAAATTTTGAGCTAAGTTCACAGTTCGAAAAAATGAACTAGTTCATAGTTCTTTTTTTTTCATATATTGCTCAATTACACCATAGCCTACTGTAGAACCACAGACAGCAATTATTTTATCAGTTGTAACTCTGAAACTGTGCGTCAGATTTCATCTTCATATCCAGTTTTGAATCCTTATCCAACCAGGGTTTACATTAGCATTGAGGGGACAGCATTTCCCCATTGTTGCTTTGACGCTTTGTTGCTGTCCATTCACTTCACACTAGTAGCAGCTGCAGCTTTCACCCCTACAGTATATTCTCAAAAACATCAGGAAAAATGTGCTGCTTGAATGGTCTTTTTATGAGGAATTATTAAAAGAAAAACAGGAAAGTAGTCTTTAAGGTGCAAATGTTTTTTTAATTTTAATATTTTTTTTCCATTTGAAATTCCATTTCAATACATACTAAAAAGGAATACTGGAATCCTGGAAAATTATACCAGGCAGGTTTACATGAATAGTAAAACCCTCAAGAACATTTTACTAACACAAACTGAGGGACCAGGCTGAGGTAGGAATTTAAGGTTACTGAAGTGCGGATTTTTTTTACTGAAAGCCGGTGGGCAAACTTGTTGCCATCATCCTCACCGACCACCTGGTCATAAAACTGTTTTAAGGGATCATACTGCTGCTTTGTCGCCTCCACGGTCGCCTCCATGCTGCTGTGGCTTCCACGCTGCATTTTGTTTTGATGACGCACGCGGCTGTAGGCTACAACACTGGTAGCTGGTGTTGCCAGATTGGGTGTTTTTCCCGCTACATATTAAGGCCTGTTTACGGTGTGATTTAGCCGGGGTTTCGCCTTGAGGGCTCTATAGAAATCGGACAACCTATTGAAAGGAGTTGAACTGAGAGAGCGTGCCGTTCACAGACACCAGAATGAACGAGTTCACAATAACGTTCATCAGACAGTACTTTCAGTTCACGTTCACCCAAAATATGAACGAGTTCATGAACTTTCGTTCAATGAACTTTTGCAAGGTGCTAAAGTAAACAAATTCATTGGACTAAATTATTTGAACAGATCTCAGGAAGCCAGAGACACTAGAATGTAACAATGCATTTAGTTTGTTTTGTAAATCTTTAAATCCTGTATCAGGATATACAACATTATTTTTTCCAAAATAACATGATTTCTGAAACCTTTTGTATTCGTCTCTCTGTCCCTCTGCAGTTGGCTGGTAGAGACTCTCCTCTGAGGCCTGAAGTCACGGGAAATCTGTTGCACTATGGGAGGTAAGTCCTCCTCTATCCTTAATCCTGCCTCCTGCAGTGCTGTAATCTGGCAGAAAATGTGATTTTATTTATTCTGCAAGTGTCATCTGTGTACATCACAAAGCAGGCAGGTTATAATTCATCTCTTGGATTCCTTTCAGCTGGTGTAAAATCAGCCTTTCAATCATAATGCAGGTGTTTTCTCGGTATTTAATTTGTGAAAATTAACACTATTTGTTTTCCAGTGGATTTAGCCTCATCTGTTCTTCAGAAAAACACATTTCCCAACCACTTCTTCTTCTGTTGGCCTGGACTAAAGCTTTCATTGTAATGACATGTATACTTTAATAGTTTTCATGGAAACTCTTAAATCAACAAAGATTTCAAACCAATTTGTTCAGGTTTATCCAAACATTTTGGATTCTTGACTGTTTGTGTTTTTTCAGAGGACTGAACATTTCCTCATAGATTCTCATAGTCTTAACAGTTGTTCAAGCGGCAGAATGATGGACTGTCTCATCTGTCCCTCAGCTGCTTCATAAAAAATACTGCTAGAGTTATAATGTTTGAAACTGGAAATCTGATTCTAGATTGAGCCACTTTATATATTCAATTATTTGAGTGTGAGACAGTTTGTTTTTCTTGCTGTAAAGCATTCTATCAACAAACCAATTAAGAAGCGTTTTTATTTTTTAACTAAAACCTTACTAAATATTTAATTACAAGCTTCAACTAAGTGTTTACAATAAAATGAAAAATAAAAAACACCTAAAAATTCAGAAGAAAATGTATCATTGAAGTAGGATGAAATTTATCTGCCAAGATGCAATCAAAATATGTAACGGCAAATAAAATTTTTTCTCTTCTTCTCTTACTGTGGGTAGTTTTTTTTTTCTCTTTGTCCCTCAATTTCTTTTTTTGTGTGTTTCCATTAGAGACTGACACGGGAGTGGATTTTTACTCCTGTCCCGTCCCACTCCCACAGAAAAACATTGTGTCCCGTCCCGATCCCGGGCCAGAGTAGAAATCTAAATCCTGTCCCGTCCCACTCCTGGTGAAATTACTCCCATCCCGCTCCCATTCAGAATGACTCCCGCTCCTGCACCACTCCCATTCTTGTTGTCTTCAATAAGATTTCTGCCAATACATTGAATCTGAATTTCTATGAAGGGTCAGTTAACTTCCTGTTTCTAACTGTAGTAAAGGTCAGTTAAAGTAAAAGGAATAATAATTATAAATGTTTTTTTGGTTGTGTAGTTTTTTTGTCTCGCATTATAGTGTAGGCTTCAAGGAAAAAACTACAAAATGGCGGCGCCAGTACTGGATTTTTTTTCTTTCTATTTTATTTTATTTGTTGGCATCGATCCTAGTTTTTTTTAGTTACTATTGGTTTGCTCCCGCTCCCGTCTGCTCCCGGTAATGTTTAATCCTGTACCGTCCCAATCACGTGATCGTTACTAATACTGACTCCCATCCCACGGGAATCCCGTGACCCGTGGGATTCCCGAAAAAATGTCAGTCTCTAGTTTTCATGTATTGTGGCCCCATGTGTTACAAAGACAAACACATTGTTAAGGCTAAAAAATAAAATAAAATGTCATTGTTTGGCTAATGCTAAACGTTTTAACAGTTTGGTAAGAAGAAAAAATTAATGGGGATGATTTATTTTTTTTATTTTTTCTCCTCAAAAATTGACCGCCTTTTTTTGGATATCTGTTCTAACTAGTAAATTTTGTATAACATAGTCAGGTTATTTTTGGGGGGGTCTAAAAGTTTTTTTATATTACGTGAACTTCTTAACTTTCCTTCTTAATTATTTCTTATCTGACCGCACAGCTGATGATAACATGAGGTTCTTTGTTTGGGAAGTGGGGGGTGCAGTTGACTCTATGTCCAACTGCTGAAAAAATATGCTAATGTTGGCTGAGGGAAATGTCTGGCGCTATGCTAGGCTAACAGTAGCTTGCCTCTTGATATAACTCATTAAAGCTCATAAAAAGTTTCATTTTTTGTTCCAGTTAATTATCTGTAAAGTTGCATTTTTTTGTTGTTGTTGCAGCATTATGTTGCCTTCAGGTCTCAGCTAAACACGCCCTAAAATAAAGCTCATGCTGTAGATTAAGACTGTGCCCAGACCTGTTTAGATTCTGGACTTTAAAGATCAGTGAATATTTCCTCCTTTAAAGCCTCCAGATGTCTTTAAAAACTATAAACTCATGTTAAATTAAAAATCGGCTTTAAGGTCTCACTCCCTGGTCTCCATTTGTTCTCTTAGGTTTCTGACAGGACCTACTAACCTTAAAGATCCAGAGGCTAAGTTCCGATTTCCAAAAATATTTGTCAGTGCAGAGGATGGCTACGAAGAGCTGCATCTCATCGTTTATAAGGTGTGTGGAAATAAACCAGTCTCTGTTCTATTTTATTTTGTTAAGTTCCTACTGTATGTTCCTATTTTGTGTCAATTCATGGATGATTTTCTAAACTAATCTGTAATGGAGGGGATTTTAGTTCTTTTTTATTATACTAGACTTAGGATTAAATATTTTCCTCTCTGTTGATGGGTTTTTCTGGATTAGATGGCTCAATTTTAAAATGAAGCATTTCCTGCAGTGCTTATCATCCGATTAGTGGGAATTTTTAACCTTTTTGACCTAGATTCTCCATGAAACCTGTACCAACGTGTTTTATGTTTTGGTTTTCCTTTGCAGGCGATGAGCGCTGCTGCTTGTTTTATGATCAGTGGTAAGTTTAAACCTTTATTCTTATAACTGTTTTCGATTTTTATCACATTTAAGCTTTTTTTCATCTAAAGCTAAAACAAGGCATCTTATCCACTTCTTCTTAAAATGAACTGACTTTCTTCTTCTAACCATATTTCTCCAGCCTCTGTTGAGCTGACCAGGGACTTCTGTGAGCAGCTGGACAGCTTGGTGGGCCCCCAGCTCACTCTGCTGGCATCAGATATATGTGAACAGTTCACAATAAACCGCAGGATTTCTGGGTCAGTGCAGATCTCTGTTAGTCCTCATCTTCTGAACAGTATCAGTCATCCACGTTGTTCTGACATTTAATTTGGTCCTGAAAAGGATCAGAAACCATCTTAAAAACCTCTATGCGATCTATGAGCTTCTAATTGATGTCCTGTTATAAACTGACTCATAAATTGTCCCGGCATCAAAAAGTTTGCGTTCCACAAATTAAGCTTCAGTCAGAGGTTTATGCATCCGCATCCAAAGCATTAATTATTTATTGATTTGGGGATTTTAAAGACATTTGAGCTTTTCATTTTTCCATCATAATACAAAAACATTTGTAAAGATGTTAACAACATAAAGGTGAATTTATCTGTTGTGGATATTCTGTGATCCACATATCCTGAAAAGTAAACATTGTCTGATAAATTAGCTTTACTAGCAGCAAACAACGATCCTCTTAGAAGCTGTTAAGAATCCCTGAGCCAGCTCTGACTGACTCAATTGTTTGGTTTCTGTCATAGGCCGTCTTAAAAGTATAGTCTGAACATTTTCAGGTTAAAGGTTTAGTGGAGGAGTTTTGTAAATAAAAAAATAAATAAACAAATTCACATACTCAACCTGTACCCACTCCTGAGAGGGAACGCCTATTAAACGCGTGTGAGCGTGACAAAGCCCATTTCTCCTTGTGCATCCTCTGTTTAAAAGTTGCTGTTTGCAATGCTCACACAAGCTTACTTTCCATAAGAAGTAAGCAAATTTTTCCTATGTCAGACTCACCACCAGTAAGGGAAAATGGGGATGAGCACGTAGGACGACCTTACATAAACATGTCACCAGAATGATTGACAATTAGGAGGACCACTTATTTTGATGGAAAAAGAACATCCTCCACTATACCTTTAATCTACTCCATCGATTACTAAACTAGTTTTAAAGACATTTTGGGGCGTTGTTATGATTTGCATATAATGGTGTCTAAAATTAAAGCATTTTGCTGCTGATATCAGTAAATCTTAGTTCATTATTATTATCAAACCTTTTTTTTCTTAATACAGTTACTTTCAGTGAAACACAAGTTCTCATTTGTTAGAGAGACCTGTTGGCACGTTTTAAAACTTTAATTGTTTATCCTCATCTTGTGACACAGATTCGGATAAATCTGTTTCAGATCCAGGACTGGTAAATGGTGGAGGTCACCATATCCCATGGTGATTTCATCCACCCTGCGTAACGTGCCTGTGGACCCTCACCATGTTGCTGCTATAACCACACTTAGCAGTTGGATCTTAATATAAGAAAGCCTCACCCTGACAGTTTTCCACTGAAACAGTTCCAATGTTAGTGAAGCTGGAGCTAAGGTCAGGCTTCTACCCCAGATTCAGTTTGCCAGAGGAAAAAGACTCCACAGCTGAATAACTGATAATGGTTATCTAAGGGTAATATTTTGGATCAGTTGAGGAGAGTTTTTGCACAGTGATGCCAACAGGAAGGCGCTCCCAGCCCACATCATCACTGCTTCTTGGATGGTTATCGCAGGCTAACGTTGATCCTTTGGAATAACCATTGAAAACCCTTCAAACTGTCTGTTTCATCAGACTAACTCATTTGATTAAACTCTCCGGTTCCTGACAGGAAGAGGAGTCGGACATCAAATGAATGTTTTTCCAGAAGCTTTATACCAACTACAGAAAGTTAAAGGTTACCAGCAATTTGCTCAAAAGGAATCAGTTGGTATCAGCGTATGTCTGAGCCTGTATGTGTAGTTTTAGATCCTTTGTGAACGAGGGAAAAAACAACAACAATTTTTTCCTTGCTGTTTACTATAAACACTTGGGTAGCTGAATGTTTTATCATTATTCCCCAGAAGGTAAATATTCTGTGTTTAGGAATAAAACCTACATCTGCTTGCATCTGGCTCACCTTTTGAGGAAGAACCTTTTTCTGCTCAAACTTTAGCCTGAAACTGTGCAAGATTGTTTTTACATGACGTCATCCCAATACATTCTTAATTCAATTATTTTAAGGCTGAGCAGTTAGATTTTTCTATAAATAACGCCACATTAGGGCCGATGCCATTTAAGATTAGATTAAATGAGCAACAGGAAGCTGATAATGATGCATTAGCTGTCAACATTAGCTCTGCCTAGCTGGCAGCAGCAAACAGAACTCTAACCTTACTGCAGATCATGGTTCCAGGTAACACATGCATGCCATTAATGACAGGTCCGCTGCACTGGCAGCTAGCTCCTGATCCGTAATCTTAGACCGGCTTTTGCAATCTGATGGACTCCTTTCTAATCAACTTGGTAAAGAATGCACTGAATAAATAACAAGGCTCCAAATTCCTTAGCCGGTATTTTACACCATTCCTGAATTTCTCCTCCTATGGATAGAAACCCAGGGCTTGTTTGAATTAAGCAACTGATTCATTCCAGTTTCAGAGGAGCTGTAATCCACGGTTGAAATGTTTTTGTTCATCTGGTTCCTGTAGGCCGGAGAAGGAGCCCCAGTTTAAGTTCATCTACTTTAACCACATGAATCTGGCGGAGAAGAGCACTATTCACATGAGAAAAACCGCCAGTGTGTGTCTCACCTCAGTCCACCCTGACCTCATGAAGATTTTGGGCGACATCAACTGTGACTTTGCAAGGTACAGCATTTTCTGTAACAAAGCTTTATGAAATGTTTTTTATTACTTAATGGGATGTTTTTTAAAGTAGATAGAAGGAGAAACTCCACCTTTTCAATTCATGTGCATGTAAGGGAGCAATGCCATGAATTAAAGTAAATATATGTTGTTTTGCTGCCTTAAAAGTAACTTAAGCTCTTGTAAACAAATCTTAAAGGACTTTATGCTTCCATGGTTTGTTTCATTATTAGAAGTTCTTTAGATGCGCTAAAACAGCCGCTTTGTCTCGACTTTGCACAGAAATGATCACCGTCTGCCTCACATCAACACTTTTCTCTGACACCTCAGTTTATTTTGCTCACCAACTCTTTGGCAGGTGTCAGATTTAGCTAAATAAACAAAATTACATGCTGTGAGGTTATAGGGGTACCTCTAAATTATTTATTTTAAAATGTTAGAAACTGACTCCTATAATGACACTCATACAGCACATTTTATAAAACATCAAGAAGTCTGAGTATAACCACAATTAAAAACTGTTTAAATTCTCTTATTTCTGCTAATCTGCCTCCTAGGGTTGATGAAGACGAGGAAATCATCGTGAAAGCTATGACCGACTACTGGGTTGTCGGTAAGAAGTCCGACCAGCGAGAGCTGTATGTGATCTTAAACCAAAAAAATGCCAATCTCATTGAAGTAAATGGTACGTCTTCTCCACCAGGAAATGTACATTCGAATTTTCTTTCCAGAATATGCTGTAATGATCCCAACCTTCTCCTGTTTTTATTTTAATTTCAGAGGAAGTAAAGAGGCTTTGTGCAACACAGTTCAACAACATTTTCTTTTTGGACTGAGCAGACACTCTAAAGACTCTCGGCTTTGCAGGTTTGCAGATTCAGCGTAATGCAATAATTGCATTGTAAAATAAACAAGTTGAAAAGCTTTGTCACCAAGTTTTTTATTTAACAGAAAAAAGTGTAATTTTATCTTGTAAGTACCTGTAAAAACACAGATTGGATTCATGTACTTCATCTCATCTCTATGTACATAATTGTTGGATTTTATCATCTTTTTAAGTTTCCCCACATATTTCTGCATATTTTTAATTCTATCATATCTTACTTTAATGTAAAAATTATGTTCATTCCAGTTTTATTTGAGTATCAGTTTTGGTTTTGAGATGTCCTGCCAGAACTATTGTGGGGTTTGTAAAACACTGCACTAACTTGAAATAAAGGAAGAAATCATTTTCCTAATTGTATGCACTGCATTTTACTTTTGGTTTAGTTTTAAACTAAAGTTTATGAAACATGCAAAGTGTGATGTCAGTATAAGAATAGAAATTAACACATGAATTAAAACTTTACCAAATCTAAGCATTAAGTGAAACTTAGTTCAAATAGAAATTACCTTAATGCAGTTGTTTAAGATTACAAGCTTGTGTTTACAGACCTACAGGGTATTTTATTCCAGATTTTGTTATGACAGTCTTATTACACATGGCGATAGTTGGTCTTTATCAAAATTATAAGATAAATCTACAGTGGAATGGTTCACAAACATATCCAGGTGTTTTAATGGCCAAGTCAAAGTCCACACCAAATCCAATCGACACTCTGTGGAAAGAAATGAAAAGTGCTTTTAACAAGCGCTCTCCATCCAACCTGTCTGAGCTCCAGCTGTTTGGAGGTAGAAGGGGCAAAAATTTCAGTCTCTTCTGTGCAAAACTGACAGACATGCCAGCATTAAAAGATGGTGCTACAAGTATTAACTCAATGTTAATGTTACACACCTATTTTTTTTTTTACTTTTAAAATATCCAATAAACTTTGTTCCACCTCATGATTGTTTCCCACTTGTTGATTCTTCACCAAAAAATTAAATTTTATATCTTTGTTTGAAGCCTGATATGGCAGAAGGTCAAAAAGATCATTGGGGGGGGGGGGGGGGGGGGGGGGGGGGGGTGAATACCTTCTCAAGGCACTATATCATGATTTCCATTCTTTTAATATTATAATTTTCAATTATTACTTTTGTCAATTTCAATTTGTTTTACTGGCAGCTGATTTTGTTCTGTCTTTAATGGAAGGGTGTGCAAACTTTCAAGCACAACTGTACATCCAGGACAAAAAAATATGAGGAAAATAATATTTTATAAGTGAAGCTGTAAAACGGGAGAAAATTATATCGAAGGGAAAAAAATCTGCAGTTGTAAATATAGTTAATCATAGGTAAAACTGAATTATTTTAATGTAAAAGAAAAAAATAAAAGTTCCTTATTAATTTTGCAAAATATAGACAACATAAGGCAGGCATCCCCAAACTCGGTCCTCGAGGGCCGCTGTCCTGCAGGTTTTAGATGTTTCTCTGCTCCAGCACAGCTGATTTTAATTGATAGTTGATTAACAGGCTTTTGCTCTCCTGCAATCATTATAATCAGCTGTGCTAAAGCAGGGAAACCTCTAAAACCTGCAGGACAGCGGCCCTCGAGGACCGAGTTTGGGGATGCCTGACATAAGGGAATAAAGACAAAATCAGGGACACAACAAACAAACAATTAGCAAACAAAACAGAAAAGACAGGATTACATGTTTTTTGACAACATAACTTGGGGAGACGGTTACCTCATACAAGTAAATACTTATGGGCAATTTGGCACAACCCAAGAACTTATATCATAATTTTACTATGTAGAGTATCTCAATGCGCTCAGTCAGACATACCTTCCATATGCAACTGTCCTTTCCATAGAGGTGCAGAAAGTCGAAAATAAAGATATCCCTGTTAATACACTGGATCCGGATCACACACTTTTTTTTTCTTTTTTTTTTTTCTCCAGAACACCAGACCAATACTGTCAGACCTTAGGTCAGGAGTAAATGAGACAGCGATCCATCAACAGACTGATATCTATGGCATTCAGTGGAGATATATTGAAATAATCTGTGAATTAACCTTAACCTGAATAAACTGATGTTTTATATTAATGGAGAAAGAATTAATCCTCTTCAGGCCCTCCTCCAAAACGCCATTCTCAATCTTTATTCCCTGTTTCTTCTCCCATGCAGCCTAAAGGGAGCTTGAGGCAAGTTTAGATTTCTCTATAAATATGTCAACAAAGCCTAAAACCAGTTTTGTTTTTACTCTAGAGATCCAAGAAGCAACTTGCAAATCTTTTTTGGGGGAGAAATTTGGAAAGTTATGTTGGACATAAATTTGCACAAGTAAAAATCTAAATAAGCGAGTGTTGATGGGGAAAAATGGTCCCTAAACTTACTAAATGAAGCAAATATTTGATTAACATACACATTTTTCTAAGCATTAATACCTTTTATCACCTAACTATTAAAGGATGAATCTGTACCCTTATTTATAGGCAACATAGGCGCTTAGAAGAGAGATACCATTCTTCACACTAATATTTTTGATGATGGTCTAGGGGGCTGTCTATGTACTATTCTCCAGGGAATAGCCTTCTTGCCTTCTGATAAAATATAGTAAACATGGTAACTCCAGTCCTCTCCTTGTGTTTTGGAAATGAATATCAGAATCAGAAATACTTTAATAATCCCAGAGGGAAATTACTTTTGTTACACGCTCCAGTTACAGTTTTATATATATATATATATATATATATATATATATATATATATATATATATATATATATATATATATACACACAACCAACCACACAAGATAATAAAGATAAAAATAAAAAAGATAAAAAATATATACACATATAGCTCTTCTGTATATATATATATATATATATATATATATATATATATATATATATATATATACAGGTGCTGGTCATAAAATTAGAATATCATGAAAAAGTAGATTGATTTCAGTAATTCCATTTAAAAAGTGAAACTTGTATATTATATTCATACATTACATACAAACTCATATATTTCAGATGTTTATTTTGTTTAATTTTGATGATTACAAATGACAACAAAATAAAATCTCAAATTCATCATATCAGAAAATTAGAATATTACTGAAGACCAATAAAAACAAAGGATTTATAGAAATGTTGGCCAACTGAAAAGTATGAACATGAAAAGTATGAGCATGTACAGCACTCAGTATTTAGTTGGGCCTCCTTTGGCCTGTATTACTGCAGCAATGCGGCGTGGCATGGAGTCGATCAGTCTGTGGCACTGCTCAGGTGTTATGATAGCCCAGGTTGCTCTAATAGTGGCTTTTAGCTCTTCTGAATTGTTGGGTCTGGTGTATTGCATCTTCTTCTTCACAATACCCCATAGATTTTCTATGGGGTTAAGGTCAGGAGAGTTTGCTGGCCAATTAAGAACAGGGATACCATGGTCCTTCAACCAGGTACTGGTAGCTTTGGCACTGTGTGCAGGTGCCAAGTCCTGTTGGAAAATGAAATCTGCATCTCCAAAAAGTTGGTCAGCTGCAGGAAGCATGAAGTGCTCTAAAACTTCCTGGTATGTGGCTGCGTGGACCCTGGACCTCAGAAAACACAATGGACCAACACCAGCAGATGACATGGCACCCCAAACCATCACTGACTGTGGAAACTTTACACTGGACTTCAAGCAACGTGGATGAAGTGCCTCTCTTCTTTTCCTCCAGACTCTGGGACCTTGATTTCCAAAGGAAATGCAAAATTTACTTTCATCAGAGAACATGACTTTGGACCACTCACCAGCAGTCCAGTCCTGTTTCTCTTTAGCCCAGGCAAGACGCTTCTGACGCTGTCTGTGGTTCAAGAGTGGCTTGACACAAGGAATGCGACAGCAGAAACCCATGTCTTTCATACGTCTGTGTGTGGTGGTTCTTGAAGCACTCACTCCAGCTGCAGTCCACTCTTTGTGAATCTCCCCCACATTTTTGAATGGGTTTTGTTTCACAATCCTCTCCAGGGTGCGGTTATCTCTCTTGCTTGTACACTTTTTTCGACCACATCTTTTCCTTCCCTTCGCCTCTCTATTAATGTGCTTGGACACTGAGCTCTGTGAACAGCCAGCCTCTTTAGCGATGACCTTTTGTGTCTTGCCCTCCTTGTGCAAGGTGTCGATGGTCGTCTTTTGGACAACTGTCAAGTCAGCAGTCTTCCCCATGATTGTGTAGCCTATAGAACTAGACTGAAAGACCATTTAAAGGCTTTTGCAGGTGGTTTGAGTTAATTAGCTGATTAGAGTGTGGCACCAGGGGCCATCAATTTTGAACCTTTTCACAATATTCTAATTTTCTGATATGATGAATTTGAGATTTTCATTTGTTGTCATTTGTAATCTTCAAAATTAAACAAAATAAACATCTGAAATATATGAGTTTGTATGTAATGTATGAATATAATATACAAGTTTCACTTTTTAAATGGAATTACTGAAATCAATCTACTTTTTCATGATATTCTAATTTTATGACCAGCACCTGTATATATATATATATATTTTTTTTTTATGTATGTACGTATATATATGCATATGTAAAACTAGATCCAAGTAAAGTGATACGTGACGTGCAAAAATAGTCCACATATATTTGATACATGGTGGACTTTGAAATCACAGACAAAATACATTATTAAATCTAGCTTTATAAAAACACCCTGGTTTAATGGATGGGTAGACCCTGAAGAAAGAACAAACAAAAGAAACTGCAATAGTCAACTACTATAGACATTAACATACGTCAAAACAATATTGAGCAGGTCTTAATCAGAAAAATGCATGGTTTTAAACACCATCTGGTCTGCTGGGAGCAGAAAAGGTTCTACAATCTAACAGCATCTGAGAGAAAGACTGCCTAGGGTTCCAGTCTTTTCCTGAATGCGTTCTCCAGCTTTCCAATGGCTCTGTGAATTAAATGGCATTTTCCAGCTGTGTTGTGTCTAAGGATCACAGGGATGACCCTCCTAATTTAGTTGCCAATAAACTTCTACACATGTCGAACCTTAAAAGATGGCTGATGCAACCAAAGTTAAAGGTCCTCAGGAGTTCTCGCTCACTGGGTTCCTCAGCAGGTAGAACCTGCTCTGCCTATCTCTGTAAGGAGCACCACTGCTGTTCATCCGATCCAGTTCATTGTTGAGGTCAACACCTAGATGTCTAACATTAGTTCCCTGGTGGTTCCGCATCTGTGGAGGTTATTTTGACTTGCATTTCCCGTAGTAAAAAGTAGTATACTTGAGGTAAATTCTATTAAGAATACTTAAGTATAAGTTTAGAAAGTATACTGAACAATGTACTTTTAGTGTACTTGAAGTATTACAAAAGTAATACTTTTTCAAACTAAATTGGGACATTTTTAAGTTTACTAAAGTATGCTTGAAGTATACTTGTCAAGTACACTTGACTGTACTATTGTTAAGTATATGAAATATACTTTAGTAAACTCTAAGTGCACTGCCTGATGTAATATCAAGTATGAAATTAGTGCACTCTTAGTATACTTGAATAAACTACTTTTTGCTAAGGGTTAACTAAACATGGTTCTACTGTCTAGTCATCTGAGAACTTCTACAGTTGGGATCCAGATTTTTATATATATATATATATATGAAATGTGTGGTTATGTATATTTATATATCTAGCAATGACTCAATCATAAAACATAAAAAATTGTTTTTTGCAATACTAAATAATAAAATGTAACATTTTATTACGCAATCTACATCTGGAGCAAAGTACCAATCGAGCAAATAAGTTTTCTTATGCATCATTCGCTGTCACTTTAAGTGTTGTTGAAAATGTCTTCCTGTATGGTAGGTAAGAACACCAATCACAGGCCGATGTCGTAGTGGCAGGCAGCCAATCAGCGTCACCTTGACAGAATTTGAAAAAATTCACCCGCCATGATTGTTTTGTTTCTGGTTCAAGCAGCGTTAAGGTCGGAACGACTGACTTTAGAAGAGATATTTTAAAAAGGAAACGCGTTTTTTCCCCCTGCTTTGTGGTAAAAGAGAAGAACTCGGGTAAAGTGCTGATTTGCTATCTTTATGTTTTTTTGGTGGCGGTTACAGACTTGGAAGACTTGCTGTTATTTTCTAATGAACTATCCTGCTGGTTGGAGCAGCTAAGCTAGCTTTGGTCAGTGCGTTAAGCTAGCTTCGGGGGGTTACAATAAATATCACGATTTGTTCAATGATTTACTTGCTTATTACAGCATTTTTATTTTCACAAAATAACAAATTTGTTGTAGCTCTCAGTTTGGTATATAATTACTCTGTGTTTTAGATTTGAACGTTAACTAATGAAAGGCTTATTTTTTCTTAATCTACCTGTAGATAGAAATAACATATTTGATTTAGACAACGTAATTTTCTTTTTATGTACTGAGTAGTATTAAACAGTTTATTTCCCTTGTATCAGGATCAACCATTTTTTTATCTGTCAGACTTTAATGCTCTACCTAGGAACTATATCTTGGTTATTCTTATCATGTTTGTGTTTTTATTTTAGTAAGTTTGTCATGGTTTATTGTGACTTTTGCATTTATTTGATTATTTATATTAGACATGATGTTTTGTTAGTAGAGACAATGATAATCCAACTGGTTATTTAAAATAAATAAGCTTAGATTAACCTAAGAGCAACAGAATAAATAAAACGTTTTTAAAAAATGAACTAAAGCAGAGTCCTGTCACATGAAGCCAGATTACTGGTGGTTTTATCCTCTTAATTTTATATCTTGGTAACTGAACTATAAGACTCTGGTTAAAGATGTATATTTCCAGTTGTTATATGTGTTTATATCTCATGAAACCTAGCTGCTGAGTTACAGAGATTCAGCAATCATCCCTCTGTGCAAACTTACAATGATTGCTGAGCTTTAACGGGAAGAAACATCCAGCAGAACCTGACTCAGTGGTAGCAGCCAAACCAACAGAGCATGGAGAAGACAGACCGCACACACAAAAATCACAGAGGAAAAGATCCTGAAGTATTACCTTAATCTTAAAGGAGAAAATAAAGAATTTCATATTAGTTCCTGTAGTGGCTTCATCAATGACAGATTAGTTCTGAGTTTATTTTAAAGTCTGTACGATGAAAACAAACAGTTTAGCTTTTAGTTAAGTTGCAAAAGTTAATCCAGTTGATGTGTTTCAGAGTCCATATTACTAAAGGTTGTATATTCATTTGTTAATCCACCCATCAGTTAATTCAATACAGTTTTATATATTTTTTCTTTCTTTTTTTTGACACCCATCCATCCATCCATAAATATTTTATCAGTGTCCCACTTACTATGTACTAGTAACATGTGAATGTCAAACATATTTTATTATTTTTGTTTACTCCAGATCTCTAAACATGGAGTCGCGGTTTGCTGACCTGCGGTGGCGTGACACAAGTGTGTCGATGCTCAGAGTAAAGCAGTCTCGCAGGAGGTCTCAGTCCCAAAAGGAGAACCGCGAGCGGTTGGTGAACGCTCGCAGGCAGATGGAGAAGCTCCCAGAAATGGATATCTCTTCTCTGGACGCCTCCATCATGACAGCCAATATGTCGACTATTCAGGAGAAGACGCAGCTCAATCCTAAACCTGTTAAAAGTACGGCCTAAATTCTCAACTGTAACGCATTTCTAGAAATTTTGATGCTTTTTAGTATTTCAAAGATGTAAGTTATCTTCTGTAAATATCTGGCTTGCTAATGTTTGTTTGTAGGCTTCTTCTTTTTTTTTTTTTAAGTTGCTTTATGAACGTTTTTTTCCAAAAGCTGCAGCACTGGATAGGCTGAAACGGCTTCAGAGCTGGAAAGAGCAAAAGGAACTAAAGAAGGAGAAGGAAAGAAGAGAGAAGGAGGCCAAAGGAGTCTTTAAGATTGGGCTGTATCAACCGAAGGACACGTTTACTCTCGCGCCGCTGCCTGCCGTTCCACTTGCCGCATCTAAAGTGAAAGAGTTGGTGAGCTGCCTGACTCAGACGTATTTTCTTTATTAGATCAACAGAAAAATGTTTGTACACTTCGCTTGGGAAATGATTAAGAAAAGAATCTGCTGAATTGCTCTAAAAATGTTCAGAAAAAGGTGAGCACTGCTGCGCCCCAAAGCACCAGAGTCACACGGTCCATGAAGCAGCCTCAGCAGGAACAAAAAAAGGTAAATCAGAATTTTTCTAATTCTTCATATTTTTCTCATGATCGCTGTTACATTAATTAAAACATCTAACGTTTTATCACTCTTATGCAAATATCCATGCAGCCTTTGGCGACACAGCATCCGAATACTCGGACAAACAAAGGTAAATGAGGAACAAGAACAACATTTAAGAATATTATTTACGGTTTGATTAAAAAATGAGACTAATTGTAAATATCACTACTTTTAGAGACATTTATTGAAGGTTTTTTAAGAGGATTACAAAAATCCTAAATGAGGATTTTTTTCTTTTTCTTGTTTTGTTTGTTTTAAGAAATAAGTGACAAGTGAAATGGACAACACTGACTAAATGCTTTACCTCAGCCTCTGGTCTTTAAGAAGAATCTTATTTCCTTTTCCAACGTTTATTATGAATCTATGGATAAAGATAATGGCCACCAGAGCCATTAAACCAGAACCAAAGGAGTCTGATCATCTCCCTCCAACACCTCACTGATGCTAGAAATCCTCCAAAAGGAGCTCTAAATAGGACTTTGACCTCTGACCTTTAATCAGCAGATATTCTTGTGTTTAAATCCATTCATCCATTTTCCATCACGCTGATCTCTGCTGGGGTTGCTAGGGCTGCTGGTTTCTATCCTCAGCTGTCAGTTGGTGAGAGGTGGGGTACACCTAGGGTTGGGAATTGATTCCGAATGCCTTATCGATTCTGTGAAACAATTCGATTCCTTATCGATTCCCTTATCGGTTCTGTGAACGCATCGATTCCTTATTGGTTCTCTTATTGATTCTGTGAAACGATGAACTCTTTAGTGCACGGTGACATTCGTCTACCTTCTCCTGGGACATTCTATTTCTGCCTGCCTCTGTGAAAACAGAAGGCAGTGATAGGGAGCTGCCAGCTTCTGATCCAGCCAGGCTACCCGTCTCGTTCACATTCATCTAAATATAATGGAGAAGGAATCCGTTTAATGAAAAGCATTACTGTAGAATTTTGGGTGATAAACTCATCTCCCCCTGATTTAAATAAACGAGCGTCACCTTTCTCTCGCTCCCTGAACTGTGGAGCAACTTCCTAGCATGTTTAATAACTCCAAAGAGAGGTAGGAAACTGGTTTATTTCCAGTATTGGCATCTGATTTACTAGGAACCATATTAAGCACAGCCAGTGATATAAAACTAGCTACTTACCGCCAGAGTTTCCTTCCATGCTGGTCGTAACTGTAGCTTCTGTCCGGAAGCATCAAAAACACGGCATTCGTTAAAATGTATGCCACCTTGTGTGCGCAGGTGTTTCTGCATGTTGGATGTATTTCCTCCCGCGGATGTAATTGCCACTTTACATCCAAACTTTCAATCGGTTTACCAGATGGGACGCCATTTTTGTTTGTTTTGCTTTTCTAGGCTAACACTACGTACTTGCTTACTGAATGCAGTGTGTGTAACTTGCATTAAAAAAACATGACATAACTTGCGCAAACAAGGTGACGTAACTTACGTGGAAAACGTGACGTAAGTCGTGCTGCCCAGCGCTAGGCTCTGGTGCTGCCTGGAATTGTTAAGAGAATCATTAAGCAAGCTGCCAAACGGTGCCATGGAATTGGAAGACAGGCAACCGGTTCTGAACAGGAACCGGTTTTCGATTCCCGTCCCTAGGTCCACCCTGGACAGGTCGCCAGTCTTTCGCAGGGCAACACAGAGACAAACAGGACAAACAACCACACACTCACACCTAAGGAGAATTTAGAGAAGCCAATTAACCTAACAGTCATGTTTTTGGACTGTGGGAGGAAGCCGGAGCACCCGGAGAGAACCCACGCATGCACAGGGAGAACATGCAAACTCCATGCAATGCAGCAGGGCTAGCCAGTGCCACTGAGCAGCATATATTCTAATTCAATCAAGGGATGATCAGTCTCCAAAAACAGTGTTTTCATCTGATATAGAAGTATGTAATGTATGGTTTAAATATATCCCCCTATGTGGAGCCAATATGTGTGTGATTATTTCTGACTATGAATTGGATGAAGGAAAGTCTTCCAGGACGTTCTAACCAAAAACTTCCCTTTTCCTTTTTAGCACAACCTGCTGCCGCAACATTGAGCAGGAGCCGAGCAGCTCCCGTCAAACCTGCTTCAGCTGCCACCAAGACCAGTGCTGGTAACTCTTTGGAGAGAACCGAAGAACCTCAGCAGCTGTTTTCTTTCCATTTAAGTCCTTTAATATGTGCATCTCTGTCAGGCTATCCTGCAGCATCAGGGCCCACTGGGCGAGCTACATCAACTAGATCAGCCACCAGGCCTGCTGTTACAAAAGCTCCTGTAGTGAAAGACAATCCTAAAGCCAAATGTGCAGGTACACATTACACAATGACATGCCTGGTACCTGCTTCTAAACAGCTCTTTTTAATGTGTTTGGTGGAGAAAAAGAGGCTTTCTATATGAAACTGGATGAATCTTTCTGTTTTCAGATGTAAGAGCTACAAGGAACACAAAAGCTGCCAACCCCTCTGCTCCTCCGTCTAACAGAGTGAGGAACTGTAAAGGTACATACGATTCTGTCCTGTTTGCCTGTTTAGGGACTACCGGTAAGCTTCCTGATACATTTTTGTGTTTGTGTCTCTGCAGCCGTCAGCGTCACCGCTCAGCCTGATGACCACCAGGTGGGTGGTTTCTGTTTGTGTCGAAGCACAAGATAAAGGTTTGATTAAAGCGCATCCGTTTCTTTAAATTCCTGTTTGTTTTCATGGGAGGTTGGAGTCACGGAGTCTCAGATCGAGGAACAGCAGACGAGCATTTGTCCACCAAGCCCGACGCCGTGTCCTGAAGAAAAGAACGATGTGGCGAACCCAGACCCTGCTGCTGCTTCTGCTCCTTCGTTTGCTCCAGAAGGTTTTCTCTTTCAGGCCCCCTCTGGTTTGTCATCCTTCAAGTTTGAGCCTCTCACCCCTCGATCAGCTGATGCCTTCCTCACACCAAGGTATTTCCCCCTCCCAACAGTTTTCTGTTCTTTATCATGTTTGGTAAGAAAGCACAAGATATTGGCATCTCTCAGTGTTCTTTAGTTGTATTTATATATGCTTTTTATTTTATGTTTAATATATTTTTAGTGTTTCTGCATATAATTGTATAAAGTGTCGTTAATACAAGGTTATACTAGGAATACTTAGTAATACTAGGATATTACTTAAGTGTCGATTAAAAACAAAATAAAAGCCTCAGAAAGACGCTGAGAATGCCCAAAACAGAATCCTGTACAAACTAAAGATATTTTGCCACATTTAGAAAACTCCAGTATATCATTTTAGGAATGTTTGCTTTAAGATAAATGCTACCCCACGCCAATAGAGGACCTACTAATTCAATTCCAAAAAGGCAAAGAGGATAAGAAGCTGATAACTAAACTATATAAAGAGTTTCTGGCCAAACTTTAGTGGGCCCACTTGGACAAAACAAAGACTGTAGGCAGAAACGGCCAAAAGCATTTCTGATGAAATATGAAAGGAGACTGGACTGAGGCACACAGAGTTACAAGCTCTAATATGCGGTGGGAATATAAATGGAAAATTGTCTGTAGATATTTCTGGACCCCAAATTTAGTAGCTAAGATGGATCCTAAAGATCCACGTTTGTGGTCCAGTAATCCATAATCATACACATATGTTTTGGTCATGCTCCAAATGACAAAAGTTTTGTGATGACATGAGCAAGGTTATTAAGCAGATCTTTCAGGAGGTTGTCCCAACGGATGTTACAGTTGCATCACTCTGTACCTTTCCAGCTGGGTGACAAGGATGAGCCCAATCCTATATCTTAAATGCTGTTCTTAAAGCAGCCCTGAAATGCATTACAATTAAGGTGAAGCAGTAGAAGCTGCCTTCTTACCACCATGGGTTCAAATGATAAGGGAATGTACCGAATAGAAATGATAACATAACTTACGGTATTAAGACTTAAAAAATCCTCTTTTAGCCGACACTGGGGCCCACTGGAAGATCTACTTAAAGCTACAGTGTATAATACTTACAGGGATATACAGTCAGAAATGTAATATATTATACATAACTATGTTATTTATCATCATCTACGAGCTCAGCCTCTTAACCTTAATATTTGCGTTGCCTTAGAATTCGTTATTTATAATTACATAGGAGCGGGTCTCGCAGTCATGGAGGCAGACATCTTTGCGCTACGGCAGCGCAGAGCCAACAAACTAGCGATTGCGAGATCGCCCATTACGCTCGAAAGTAACTACGGCAAGTTGAGAGAGATGAACTGAGACGGTACTGAAATCTATACCCTACACAGACTAATGAAATACTATCTGTAAAATTATCTATGTAAACAAACCTCATCACTTGAGAAGGTAGGTGATGCGGACGTCGTGGAAGACATTTTGTCCCGTAACGCTCGCCGTACTGTTGGGGAGGAGAAGCGGTGGGGGGAGATGTTCATGTTGCTGCGGTCTGCAGTCTGACCGCTAGATGTCGCTGAAAATTAGACACTGTAGCTTTAAACAAGTTCTATAACTGTTGGATTATAGTACTTAGCACACTTTTGTTAGGTTTATTTTGTGATGCTTTTTTTTTTTTGTAAAATGTCCTGCTGAGATGTTAAATATATGGTATTATTTCAGAATTGTTAAAAATTATAATTATTATATATACGGTTCTATAATTGCTCTGTTTCTAAAATCCATAAAAATTTAAGTTCTACAAAAAGTATAAATGCTCTAATTATGGACAGTTGTGTATGTTAAAATGCTGGAGATATCATATAAGTATTATTAAATAAAACTATCGCTATATATTAGGGGTGGAAGGGTTCAGAAAATCAACGGTTCGGTTCACGGTTTCGTGGTCACGGTTTTCGGTTCGGTATATGTTGATTGTTAGCATGACATGTTGGTCATGTTGCTGTTTGCATAAACAAAACGTGTTGCACAATGCTTGCACACTGTTGCACTTTTATCCACAACTTTCTTCCCGCCGTCATCGTAGGTCACTCTAAATGCAAAGTGGTCCCATACAGCAGACCTATAAAGTGCTGCTGGCGCGTCTTCCTACTCCTGTTCTTTCCCACTCGCCATACCCACACAATTCTCCACAACAACTGATTTTTTTCTGCTACACCCGGCTACGCTGCTTCGCTTCTTCTAGTTTACTACTGATGGTTAGCTTTGGTCGCAGTACCGCCACCTTCTGCTCTTGAGTGTAAACGCTTCGCCTATGAGAAAAAGGAGCAGCGTGTGAACCGAACGAAACACACACGAATCGAAGCGAGACAGTCGAACCGAACGGTTCGGACGGTTTTCATAAACCGTTCCATCCCTACTATATATGTGTTTATATAAGCTATTGTCCACCCTTAGGCACAGTCAAATACTATGCCTTTAAAAAAGAAACCCCAGGGAAACCCAGATGTTTATGTGAAAATGAAGCTATATTTCCAACCATTAATCCTATTGATGTTTACTAGTCCTTATTTTTTTATGCCAGGAGTGATCAGTGGACCTAATTGTTGCAATCTGTCACCATCTGCTGGCGATACGAACTCACAACTCCATCAACTCAGCAGCTTTAGCTCAATCTTGAGTTAACATTAATGCTCCTGTGTTTTTCTGACAGCTGCTTCTGATTGAACCCTCTTAGCTTCTATCATTCTGTTCACTTTTTCACCCTTATGGTTTGACTTTTTTGCTTTTGCACGTCTGCTTGGTGTTCCTTTGCTCTCATCCTTGTTTAACCATTGAGCTCATTTACATCATACCAACATAACTTTGGTCTCCTTATGGTAAATACTGAAGAAGCTTAAGTTTATTAACTCATGGAGAAAACCTAATGGTAAAACAAATAATATTTAACAAGTAGAGATGCAAGTTATCAATTAATGAATTGATCTAACCTTGATTGATCCTTTCGACTGACGATTAATTGATGCAAGGCCACGTTCTTCAAAACCCAAGTTTTCTATTTTAAAAACAGAATCTTCCAATTAACATGAGGAGCTAAATATGTTTTCAGTATACTATATTTAAAATGTAAAAGTTTAAGATGTATTAACGGAATAAACAAAGTTTTCTGACACATTATTAAACCAAACACATTTACAAGAAACAATAAAACCGGAACCTATAGAGTCACTGAATAGAATCAAGAAAATGAAGGGAGGAGGTATAGTTTGAAATGTACAGAGATATAAAAGTATCTTTAATAGTCGTGGTATGTCGCTCTGACATACTGTCAGGGCGACATACCAACAAACAAAGTTTGTTACGGTACTTTGTTTTAATGAGCTGGAAGCCAACTGTGATGTTTGGTCCATTAATCAGTGCTGGGAGAGTTCTGTGTAATCAACTCCACATCATCATTGCGTCCTCGCCATCAAAGCACCTGAGAAGGTGCACCGCTCCTCCATCAGCACGGCTGAATGGCCGCTAATTAGGTGATGACTGAAGGAGTTTATCTAGTGTTTATATTTAAAAAGCAGAACTCCATAAAGTTCATTCTGCATCTTTTTCTGCATCCACTGCTGGGAATAATCGCAGAATGGACTCTGCATCAGTTTGCTGTTCTCATCTTAGCAGACCTCCACTTTGGCATTACCAGTCATGCTCTCCTTAAAAATTATAATCAACAATCATAAATCTATTATTACAAGCTTACAGAGTGCATTAATTTAATCAAAAACTTTTATATGCAACCAGAAGAGCTGCTGGTGTAGAAATTCATAAAGTCTCAGTTTGAGACTGATCCTCTTAATCAACAATATCAGCCCAAAGTAGTTTATCTTACTGTGCTTGTTTTCTGACACTTATGGTTTGACCTTATTAATAATGTTCTTTAGTAGGAAAATGTGTCTTAAGGCAATCAGGGGTCATATTTTTCTTTTTTTTTGTATAAGGTAATTTAAAAATGCCACCTGTTTCTGATCTAAATGTTTTACGCTGTGACTCTTTCTGCCCAGTCCCAGTTTCAATCTCCCAGCAGCCCCGGTGTTCAGTGCAGAGGCTCCTGCTGAGTGTGAAGAGCCGCTTCCTCCTCAGACTCCCAGCAGCTCCTCTCTTCATACGTCTCCAACCTCAGGCAGTCCTCAGGAATTAAAGCATGATGTTCCTTACTTCAGGTAGTGCATGTTTTTTTATTCATTTTCTTTTTATTCCTATCACCTTAACTGTCTTATGACTAAGAAAATTAAAGTATTTTCTGTTTTGTTCAGGTCAGAAATTTCCAATGAGACGGACAGACTAACGAGCCTTTGTCTCCACTGGGAATCCAAAGTGGAGGACGAATCCATCCCAGAGGAAAGTGAGTATCTTCTTCTCTAGAAGAACATTGACCAGGTTGATCAACAGAGCCGTATTCAGTTCAGTGCTCCTGTGTGACAGTGAGAGACCGAATGCGCACAGCCGTAGGCCAAGCCAGGCTGCTGATGAAGGAGCGTTTCAACCAGTTCAGTGGTCTGGTGGATGACTGTGAACTGGGCCGTGGAGAGAAGATTACCACCTGCACCGACCTGCAGGGCTTCTGGGACATGGTTTATTTCCAGGTATGAACCTGTGGGAGGCAGAAACAAATTAGGCTTGAATTCAGAAACTACCACCATAACCAGATGTGTTGGACTGCTGTGGGCTTTCAGGTAGAAGATGTCCAAAAGAAGTTTGATTCTCTCAAAGAAGCAGAGAGCCGTGGCTGGGTGGAGGAGCAGAAACTTCCACCAAGGCGGAGGAAAGTCAAGGTGAGGCTCCACAATTCAACAGCAGCCTTAATGTTGTTGTTTTCTTTCTGCTAAATATTTATTTTAATTATATTTTCTATCATTCATATACAGGTGCAATCAGAGATTTAAAGGCCAATTTCAATCATGTTTTCTAAATCTCTTATCTGAGTGTACTTGTTTTAGCAGATTGGTTTAATAACTGTTACTTTAATAACTGTAAAGCACAACTTTCTCTTTTTTATTTTAAATTTATTCTTTTTTTTCATCTGAAAATCTCAAAATACATTAAAATCCTCCACATAATGGGACACAATGTAGAATGATGGGCTAGTGCAGGGGTCGGCAACCCAAACTGCCCAAAGAGCAAAAAAATAAAATGTAAAAGTCTCATATATGCCTGGTATGGCAACACGGGCTCTTAGTGTATTATCTCACTATAGAAAGGATGATGTGGACTTAAATATATAATAAACATTCATGTTTACATGTTTATCCTGGAGCAAATGTCACATAGCAGCATGAGGTGAGGGACGAGCAGTGAAAGCTCCAGCTCCGGTTTAAGTTTTGTTGCATTGATGAAATGATAGAAACACGATAAAGGAATCTTTCTATGGTGGACGCGTTTCTATCGGTAGGAGTTGATTGAGTCATGAGGAACCGAGCAGGAACTGAAATCCCTCATCCTCCGTCACCAGCGCTCCTTGGTGTAATTTATATTTTTAGGATTTGGGGAAAAAATGGAGGAAAGTTCACATGCATCAGAGCTCTGCCTGTTTGATCTGAGGACGGTTTTCCATCCTTGTAACCAAACTAGCAGCAGTTGTGCAGTTTGGAGATGCAAACTTCTGAAATCTATCTTTGCGCTCCTCTAATTTATCCAGAAGTTCTGCAATCGCACTTATTCTCTCCCTCCCAGCTTGGTGGTCGGCTGCATATTTAGCCTTCCCTGGAAATGCCTTTCCAAATTACTCTTTTTATTTTTTGACAGCCTGTCATGACGAAGCAGAAATGTAGGCAATCCTTCCGCATTGATGATGAAAGCAAATGATTCGGTCTGTTTGAATCCTCTTTTCTCATCGGCTATCTTCTTTTCCCTTTGGGTTCCATGGTCTGAGACTCACCTGCAGCTTTGGTTGCCTGGCACTGGCATTGCAAGTTGTAACCGCTGATCTCTATGGCTATGAAACAAATTATTGTTTAAATTTATTTATAATACAAATGTTTACAGTATTGGAAAACATTATACATTTTTGTTTAACCTCCTGCACACTATATTAAAACAAACAAACTAAAAATAAAATCATTTTCCATACATTTTTGAAAAAGCTCCAGGGAGCTGTAAAGGGGACGCTAAAGAGCCGCATGCTGCTCCGGAGCAGCGGTTTGTCGACCCCCGGCCTAGTGGTTAGAGCAGTGCGCTTGTGCTCTGAGAAGGTTGCAAGTACCCAGGTTTGATCCCCACAGACTGCCACTCTGGGTCTCTGAGCAAGACCCTTAACCTCAGACTGCTCACTGGCCGCCCACTGCTCCCTAAGGGGAGGGGTTATATCAGAGGTGAATTTCTCCATTGTAAGATCAATAAAGTTCTATTTCTTTGTGTTTCTGAAAATCAAAATCTAGCTTAAATTAATAAAAGCATTTCACATGTAGTCTGTTACAGAGATTATTTTCAAATCATATCAAAAATATATTATTTGTCTAAAACAGAGGCCTTCAACAGGCTGTCCGGGACACCTAGGGGTCCACGGAGGTACTGCATGGGTGTTGTGAAAGTTTTGGTTGATCTGATTTTATTTACTTTTTATATTCAACCCTGCAATTATTTCCACTAATTGAAATGTCTTTAAATCCACATTAACATGAATTCAACAGACTGTAGTAAAAAGATAAATGGAGGCAGAAGATGTCTTTCAGTCATCAATACTCACATTCAGCGACACACAGGAGCTCTTTCAAGCTGGGCACCGTTTCATTCACAACACCTGTCCCATCAACCAGGAATCAGAAATACTTTAATAATCCCAGGGAGGGATTACTTTCATTACATTACTCCATCTGTAATAGAGTGACTATCGGACCAGTTTGATATAACAGTTTTATACAATATATATAATTGGGGTCCCCGCTCCATCTCGTCATCAGTTTGGGGGTCCTTGGCCTGGAAAACGTTGAAGACCCCTGGTCTAAAAGATCAACCAGTGTCCAACTCTGGTTTAGTTTCCTGTAGTTTGCTAAATGCTTCTGCTGTCTTCATGTTTTAAAAGCTGATAGTTGAAACATGTGAATCTTGGTTCAGTAACATAATTCACACTGAGGGGAGGATTCACCTGGATCTGGCCTAAGCAGGATTCATTTTGGAAAAAAAAACTTTGTCCACTTCCCTTCCATGTTGATTTGCTCAACCACCAGCCTTAAAGATTGGATTCAAACCAATCCACAAACTAACAAGCTTCAACCTGTTCTTTTATTATTTTTTTTTAAGACGACCTCAGTAGCTCCCACCAAGCCAACAGGAAACAAAACAGCAGCCCGATCTCGTCTGGCTGCTGTGAAAGCTGCAATGAAAGCTCGCCAGGAGGCAGCTGAAGCAGAGAAGACATCCAAAGACGCTGATGTGCCGCAGCCACAGGTGGAAGGCCAAACGGTCGTCTTTGACGGAGGTTTCTTCCAGGTGGAGAGCCCAGCCAAACCATCAGGTGAGCCACTTCTTTTCTGTTCATTACCGTTAATCTTTCACATCATTTTTACAATATACCATATTTTAGTGCTTTCAGTTCGGAGATCTAGCCGCCTAAGCGCTGCAGCGCTGCCCTGCGCTTCTCCGTGCTCCAGCTACTTCTCACCCAGGAGAGTCACCCGGCGGTCCCTGGCATTGGCCCAGACATCTGTTGAAGCAAACGCTTCCCCTGCTCAGCCACTCCACTCTGCAGAGAGGTTCTGCCTTACTCTTGAGCAAACTCCAAGACCAAAGTCTCAACCAGGAACTCCTCAGATGTCCCAGAAAAAGAGCAACACGGCGAATCTCTCTCCTGTGAAAGATGTGCTTTCAGAGGAGGCCCAGTCAGTCCAAAGTCCTCAACCATCAGAAATCTCCTCTCCTGCTGAGCAGGTTCCAATGGAGACAAAGCCGTCTGTCTGTCCCACACCAGATGGTTCCGTCATTGAGGTACGGTCGAAATAGTTATCTTTATATTAACCCTACTCCTTGTTATATACTGTAAATGATTTTGGTATATTTATCAATGCAGGAAATCCCTGGTTTGGACTTTGAACGTTATCTCCAGCCATCACTGAGGTGCAGTTTATCACCAAGAGGCAGCGTCGCCGTAGAGATGTTATCTATGGGAACAGATGTAGAGATGGAGAGTCCTAAAGGAGAGGCTGAGGAACTGCTGACTCATCTAGAGCCAGGTATGAAAAAGGGCTAGAAGAACACTGCACACGCCGGCTTTTGGCATTCTCACAGGGTGACACTTCACTAAGCAACAACCTTGGAAATTGTTCATACGCCCAATTTCTGTTTTAATTATTACCATAATCTTTAAATCAGTTAAAAGAAAGGTGGATCCAGATGTTTTTTTTTCTCTTCCTCGTTAGCCATGCCTTCCTTTATCACATAAAGCTCAAAGAATAGATGTTTTTGGTGTTAAAGTGAGAAATTGTCTGTATGAACAGTTTATCAAGGCGTTCCAATATTGGTTAAAAACCCAAATCTGTGGAAATCACTTCTCATTTTTAATCTGCTCCTGCTTATTGCTGCCTGTCTGGTTGCTTCGGGGGAATAAACTCTTGGTCACGGTTTTGTTCATGTGTCACAACAGCACCGTCAGCGGCGTCCCTGGTGTCCACTCCTCAAACTCCACAGGTTAATGTTTCACTTGTTCTTTTCGATAGAAAATAACATACTAACTTAGATCAACACCCCACCCTTCTTCTGCTTTTAGTGGTTCATTCATTCAAGCATTGTTTTTCTATTTTCACCTGAACACATTTTCTTTGTGTTTTGGTGCAGAATGCAGCGTCAGCCCTGCTTCTCTTCACCTCCGACCTCACGGACAGGATCCGCCAATCCACCTGCCCCAGTGACCTAATGGTCTTCACCCCTCCTATGATTTAAAGAATATCTTGCGTTGACTTTACAGGATCATTGATGATCCTCTGTGTTTTAAAACTCTTTTAAAAATAAAGTTGTAGTTAAAATGTAAAGTCTATATACATCCAGTGCTTTTGGGTTGATTCACTTTTTCATACAGTGGATAATGCTGAACAGGCTGTTGGTTTATGTTGAATATGGGTCTAGTGACATCTAGTGGCACAGCTGTGCAAGGTCAAGTACTGATATGCAAAGTCTGGTTTTGTTGTCTACAGAAACTTGTCAGACATGTTGTAGAGCTGTTTTCTTTTGTGGCATTCATTTTTATATATATATATATATATATATATATATATATATATATATATATATATATATATATATATATATATATATATTTGGCTTTTCATTTTATTTTGAATTTTAATAGAAAATTAAACTCACTGAAACTGAAGATTCTGTCAAACTTTACAATGACTTCTGAAAGTATTGTATTCAGAATTGTAATTAAAAAAAAATTGGAATAAAGGCATAGTTCATTGGAATCAATACTCAGCATTTGCACAAAAGTCCGCTGTTTGGTCAGACTGAGTTTTTACTGCAGCTTCTCTGCTGGATTTAATTCAAAGCTTTTGGAGAACACTTGGAAATGCTTTGATCTAAAGCACTACACTACAGCTCTGACTGCTTGTTTCAGCTTCCAAAACCTTTTTGTCCAGTTCTCTGCTCAGTTAAGCTTTCATTCAACTCTGACCCGCTCCCCCAAAGAAAAGGGTCCAAACAGAATGATGCTGCCACCACCTTGTAACGAGGTGAGAATGGTGTGTTCAGAGTGATTTCAGCATCGTTTGTGCATAGCATGTTACATGTAGGCCAAATGTCCTCAGACTTCCACTTTCATAAGGGCTGGATTTGTAGGGTGGGGATACCAAGACGAGCCGTGGGTATCTGCGGCTCCTCCAGAGGTTCTTAGGGGCTTCTCTGTCGTCTATCATTACTGATGTTCAATTCAGTTTTATTTCTATAGCGCCAATTCCCAACACAAGTCATCTCAAGGCACTTTACAGTTCAACCAGATCATCCAGTCAGATTGATTCAAAGTTTTCTATCTAAGGAAAACCAGTTGATTGACTCAAATACAATCCCTCACACTAAGCATGCTTGTAGCGACAGTGGAGAGGAAAAACTCCCTTTTAACAGGAAGAAACCTCCAGCAGAACCAGGCTCAGTGTGAGCGGTCATCTGCTGAGGCCGACTGGGGTTCAAGGAGACAGAAGCAGAGATACAAAAAGCAGCTGTAAAAGGCGGCCCCGTCCAGGAAACACACAGCCAGGCAGACGAGCTCCCATGCCAGAGGATGAAGAGAGCACATCCAGCCAGTTCTCTAATGAATTAGTGATGCAGTCAGACCCTTTTAACTGAAAAATGTATTTTCCAAGAAAGATAACTTGGAAAGTGGATTAATTTCCATTCATTTCTACAGTTTGGTGTTCATCTACCTCAGGTTGTGACAAAAAAAGGTTTGGTCTTTGAAAAAAGTTGTAAGAAATTTTAACATGAAAATCTCCTAGGAGGTTGTTTTTGCTAGTCGCCGCAGGGAAAAAAAAAAGTAATTCCAACCTCAAAAGAAATAAAATTATCTGACAGTTAAGGCTTTCTGATTTCAGTGAAATAATTCATGGCTGAGTACAAAGCTAATAGTACTTTGGTACTTAGTTTTAATAATACTATTTAAGCCTAAAAGATCAGAGGGATCTCCCGCTCCATTCTTCCCTCACTCGTGAACAGGACCCCAAGATACTTGAACTCCTCCACTTGAGGCAGGGACTCTCCTCCAACCTGAAGGGGACAAGCCACCTTTTTCCGGTCGAGAACCATGGCCTCGGACTTGGAGGAGCTGATTCTCATCCCGGCCGCTTCACACTCGGCTGCGAACCGCCCCAGCGCACGCTTTAGGTCTTGGCAGGAGGGAGCCAGCAGAACTACGTCATCCGCAAAAAGCAGGGACGAGATCCGCTGGTCCCCAAACCAGACCCCCTCCGGTCCTTGGCTGCGCCTAGAAATCCTGTCCATAAAAGTTATGAACAGGACCGGGGACAGAGGGCAGCCCTGTCGGAGTCCAACATGCACTGGGAACAGGTCCGACTTAGTGCCAGCAATGCGAACCAGACTCCTGCTCCGCTTGTACAGAGAACGGATGGCCCCTAATAAAGGGCCCCCGACTCCATACTCCTGGAGCACCCCCCACAGGGCGGCACGAGGGACACGGTCGGATGCCTTCTCCAAGTCCACAAAACACATGTGGACTGGTTGGGCAAACTCCCATGAACCCTCAAGCACCCTGCAGAGGGTGCAGAGCTGGTCCACCGTTCCACGGCCAGGACGAAAACCAGACTGCTCCTCCTGCAGCCGAGGTTCGACAATCAGCCGGACTCTCCTCTCCAGCACCCTGGCATAGGCCTTTCCGGGGAGGCTGAGAAGTGTGATTCCCCGATAATTGGAACACACCCTCCGGTCCCCCTTCTTGTGGAGGGGAACCACCACCCCAGTCTGCCAATCCAGGGGGACTGTCCCCCACCTCCACGCGATGTTGAAGAGACGTGTCAACCATGACAGCCCGACAACATCCAGAGCTTTAAGATACTCAGGACGGATCTCGTCCACCCCCGAAGCCTTGCCACCGTGGAGTTTTTTGACCACCTTGGTGACTTCGGTCTGGGTGATGAACGATCCTAGCCCCAAGCACCCCGTCTCTTCTTCCCCCACGGAAGGCGTGTCCTTCGGGTTGAGGAGGTCCTCAAAGTATTCCTTCCACCGCCCGACAATATCCTCCTTCAAGGGATTAATGCGGAAGCTGCACCGGTCTGTCGTGGTGAAGAGAGAGCTGAGCGAAAAGGCAAAGCTCTCAATTTACCGGTCGGTCTACGTTCCTACCCTCACCTATGGTCACGAAATTTGGATCATGACCGAAAGAACGAGATCCCGGATACAAGCGGCTGAAATGAGCTTTCTCCGCAGGGTGGCTGGGCTCTCCCTTAGAGATAGGGTGAGGAGCTCGGTCATTCGGGAGAGGCTCAGTGTAGAGCCGGTTCTCCTCCACATCGAGAGGAGTCAGTTGAGGTGGCTCGGACATCTTCTTCGGATGCCCCCTGGACGCCTCCCTCGGGAGGTGTTCCAGGTACGTCCCACCGGGAGGAGGCCCAGGGGACGACCCAGGACACGCTGGAGAGACCATGTCTCTCGGCTGGCCTGGGAGCGCCTAGGGCTTCCCCCAACAGAGCTGGAGGAGGTGTCAGCGGAGAGGGAAGTCTGGGAGTCTCTGCTTAGTCTGCTGCCCCCGCGACCCGGTTCCGGATAAAGCGGGAGACGACGAGTACGAGATCAGAGGGAAGAAGGACTGGTGACCTGTCCAGGGTTTACCCCGCCTCTTGCCTGGAGATAGACACCAGCACCCCTCGTGACCACAGCTGGGATAACGTGGGAAAATGGATCAGTAGGAAAAAAACCTGGGCCTGAGACGAGATAAAAATATATACAACATACAGTAATTAATCAATAGCAAATTCTGGATAAGACATACTTTCCAAAATGTACCTTTTATTACAATTCTATTAAAAATAATGTCAAATAATATAGTATTTTCTGTGTACAGGTTTGGTTACTTCAGTAACATGATTCATTGTACTGTTTTCCGTCTGTTCACTTGGCCTTAAAATGACAGAAGAATAGAAAATATGAAAACCGTGAAGTTTAATTACAAACGGTTTAAAGCAAACAAGCTTTTCTTTTCTGAGAGAAGTTGCAAAGGTAAGAGTTGTGAGACTTTATATTGTTACTCAAGTAAAACTAAGTACAATGGAACGACAGTAAAACTACTAATACTAAAGGAAATGTAACTAGTCAGTAGCTACAGTGATATCATTTTTTTAACTATGTATTTGTATGATAGAGCTCCAAACACAGTGATGATGGGTGTAGCTCTGTGGCACATGGTGACATAAAATATAGCATTTGCCCCTTTCTTAAAACAAAAGTATAAGCTTAAACTTTCAAAGGCAACCTTCTATTTTGAAATTGTACTTATACCCAGGCATGGCAAATGCCCGGTACGCCCGATTACCAGGGGCGTACTGGGCATTTGCCCGGTGGCCCAACGTGCTGTTTGGGTCGGCAGACCTGACATTAATAATTAATATGTAATACATATTAATAATATGTATTATTATTATTATATATCGGCCTCGTTATATTTTCATAATGCATGAAGAAAAATAAAATCAGGAGCGCAAGAGTCTGTTCCGATCATCCGGCCCTTACCACAGGCTACTGCTGCCCATTGGTTATCATCCCTGACAGTCTAAAGGGCTAGGCCAATCAGAAAGTAGAAAAACACCTTCACTCTCCATTGGAACTTTATGCAGCGGCGTTCACAGTAGTAATAGATAAGAAAGTTCTTCAAACGGACGCTGCGAACTGTGTCAAACTGACTGACATGTTCCCAACAGCAGGCCCTTCATCTGCTCCGGTGTCTGATGTTAAATATGATGGTGGTTTTAGTGGAGGCGACGGCGAACCGAGCAGTGAACATGTCAGTGCGGCTGCTGCAGTAGTAGAACCTGCAGTAAGCCGGACAGTTTTCAGAGCCCCAAACTATGTAATGCAGACATCCCAAGTCTCTCCCTGATATGGATAGATGTTCACGGATTTCCGCGAGTCGGATAAATTATCCCGGATTTTAGACTGTGAGGTGGAGTTTTTTAATGCGAATGAGAGCGGGCAGGCGGTACAATGATTCATGCATCATGTGAGGATTAGAACTACTTCGATTGCCCAGGAACAAGAGAGAGCGGGGTGAGGAAGAGGTTGCTGGTGAAACCTGTGCACAGTTCTCTGTCTCTGGCAGCACCTAGTTACCGCTCAGAGCTGTGCATCCTGTGAAACGGCAGAGGTTCAATCCTCGAGTAAAAAATTTATATATAGGACTAATTTTACAGCAGAATATACTAAAGTATATCTACGTCTAATGAAGGGGAGGAACAGTGGCGGATCTAGACCAAATGTAGGCTACCAGGGGGCCAGGAGGGGGCCAGAGTGTTTTCAGAGGGGCCCAGAA